TGAAAATCCTGTTAGAACCAAAACACTGTGTGCACTTTTTTAATTGGATTTTTGCCAACCCATGAAGAGGAGGGAGGGAAAAGGGGGAAATCGTGCGGGCGAGGAACGCGAGACATGACCCATCTGTGACATGCCCTGGAGCCATGATATGCTGGGTGGTTGGGCTATTCGGGTTTTTCATTTCGTTTGGGATGTGTGCAGCAGGCGCAAGTAATATGGAGCGTCATTAAAAGCGCACCCGCTTCGGCTTTTGGCTTCTACCATTTGCCATTTGCCATTTGCCATTTGCCTTTGCCGGGCCGTGTTTTAAATTATGATGAGTCACACATTGTTGACGTGCTGCATTAACATTCATAATTTCCACATGGCAACGTTCGGTTCACAAGACCGAACCGTCGTCGCTGAATCAGTTGACATTTGAAGAGCCGCCGAGAAGAGAGCGCGCCGGCTTTTCCTGCGCTTTCCTCCTTGAAAACGGCAGGAAGACTTTCCGCCAAATTGCAGGAAATTGAATGGGGAAAAAAACAAATATGGCCGAAGGGCCAGACTTGCTGGGAAAGGGAAAGCGCTTGCATCAATGTTATTTCGGCTAGTTGCTGTTGCCGTTCGTCACACGTTTTCCCGCTCGACGAGAAAGGGGCGGAAGGGCGAAAAAGAACCGTCTGGCTCTGTGATTGGTGCGGATACTTTTTGCATGCCACTCAATTTCCATTTCCCCCGCGGTGGACGCGTCGTCCTGCCGTTTTTGGGTGGTTGTTTTGCCACCTCGCAAAATGGCGACCGGCGGTGTTTGTCGCTTTAAGTAGTTTATGAAAAATTAGAAACGGTAGCGAAACCAGCCACCCCTTCCACTGGGTTGCCATGAATTTTCCAAGCGAGCGCACAGTTGACGGGGCGCTGAAAGTCATCCAAGCGCCAAGACCTAGACCCGACTTTTAGATCTTAGCGGGTCATATATATACAGAGTCATACTCCTCCACCTGTCCCTCACATTTTCCATTTTCCTTTTTCCATTTCCTCTGCAGCGGCACAAAGGAGTTGCATCCTTTCAGGCCTTTCCCACTGGCAGCAATATCTACCTGCAGTTCTCACCTTTCCCCATCCCCATTCCCATTCCCATCCTCGTTAAAAACTGAGTTCTCACCTCTGCCTTTGCCTTTGCACAATTTTCCTTTTCTTTGGCTCTGTTTTCGTTGCCTTCACAACTGACAATTTATCTCTGGTTGTTTGCCCAGGGATCGGAGAAGAACAAGGGGTGTTGCGTTAGCAACGTTGTTTTCATTTCGAGACGGAGAGCTGGCAGAGCTGCAGCAGACAGGTTCGCTTGAAGGAAGGGCCTAAAACAAATGTGGACCCGCCCGCCTGCCATGTCGGGGTTTTCATTACCTTTTCAGTTTCCATCTTTCCTGCCTGCAACTCTGCAACTCTCTTTTTATCTCCGTTCCTGTTGCTGTTGCTGTTGCTGTTGCTGTTGCTGTTGCTGTTTTCCTTTCATTAGTTGTCAGAGATTGCCGAGTCAGAGATGGACGCACCATCATCATCCTGCCCGGTGCAAAGTGTTTTTAATTCTCTCATTAGTAGCTGAAATTACTCCACACCATTCGCTATTATGGATGATGGTTGGCCATGATACCGAGGAGAGAGCTATTTCCGCTGCATACTGCATTCGAATATTCTGTGCAGTATCCATGACTTTTGTGAGACCCTGAAATGCGGGCTTCTTCATTGCAGCCTCTCTCATTAGTTTGATTGAACAGAAATTCACTCGTAATTTGTCAATCCGTAATGGTTAGTTATTAGAAAAGTCCCTCAGGGATTATAATATGAAAGGAAAATAAACAAGTTTCAAATAACTAAGATGGATCGCGCATAAGGTATTTAGAAACACAACCCAACCCTTCCCATGATTTTGTTTCCGAATGATATACGAGTCTGGTTTGCGTAATTCGACGCCATTTCTATGTTTTCGATTCATAAACTCTTGAATATCTCAAATTCATATTACCCAACCATTCATCTTCCATTAGGGGTGTTCTGTTTCAATGACTTTCTGCTCTAGTTCATGAATTTGAACCCTCAAAAGTGTCGCAAGCATCGAGTCTAGACTCTAGAGTCAATTCATAGCATTCTTTCTGCATTAATTACGAACGCAGAATGAAAAATGTCTCGATCTAAGAAAACTAGCAGCTGTAGTCGCTCTTCTCTCTCCGTAATTTCTCTCCGCAGCTCTGTTTGTATCGCATAACTAATTAGCAATTAAATATTGCCACTTTCTGACACGCCCCAATTACGCGCATGCGCGACCTCCGCGCAAAACATAAAGAGTTCTCTCGACTCTAACATGCTAACGGTAAAACGGTTTACAGGCGACAAATGTTTGGGAACGTTTGAGGTTCTCGAATTCCTGGGTTCGTTCTGTACCTACCTGACTTGCATATCATTTCACAGTCCGCTGAGTGCGCGGCAGTCCATCAAAAAAGAAATAAAAAGTAGTAAAAACATTTAACACTATGTTGGGCCTGCGCATTTGTTATTTCGAGTGGGCAGCCTGTGAACTATAACCATAGCCATTGCAACTGCATTCGATCAGGGGCTATCTGGCATATAAATACTCGTGCATATATAGTACTCGTAGAGCTGAAGTCATGCGGCTGAATTCTGAACTCATGGCTGACTGCAAGGTAGAGGGCAACAGAAACAGAAACAGAAACAGAGAGATGACTTCTAGGCTAGATACACAGAAAGAACCTGTTTTGGGCCTGCGTTTCTGGAGACGCTCACAGTAAACGCTCGTAAATTGCAAACGCAAATGATTTAACTTGCTGTGCAGGCGGTAGTTAACTTTAACTACTAGCATCTTTTTGAATGCCCTTTGTTTCACGACCACTGGGAACACTTTGCGGGATTTATTTGGCGAGAAATGTTCATACCTTATACATTTTTATAGCCTGCAACTCTTATATGACCCCTCAAAAAAAAATTCTATAATACGTAAATGAACTTTCTGTTAATTGAACTTTACAAGTTGGTGACCCCGTTCCCCTCGAAAAATTTGTCTACCAAAATATAAAATGATTTATTCCTGATTCGAAACTCTGTACTCCACTCCAATTGTGCAAACACAAACATCTTCAATTCATGACACTTTAAGCCGAAGTGAATCATTTTCCATTGGACTAATTAAACAAAGCCCTTGCCTGCTTTCCCCATTCTATAAAGAACGATTGGGATATATGTACATATATTCATTTATTGTGGGCGAGTTTGCTTAGGAGTATATTTCTTGTTGTGTGTGCTTTTCGAATATTGAAATGAGTTTGTTGCCTTGTTTTCTCAGATGCCCGCATCACGAAGCCATTTGAGCTCGTCAAACGATGCAGTTGTTGGCCACCGCCTTAACCCATTGCCATCACGATTTGCTCGATTTTAGGGCGGCGGGGTGGGCTGTCAATCCAATTTTAATGAAATGTGTTACTTCGATTCCCAGGCGCAATTAATTTGAAATGTTTCAGTTGAGCAGGCACAAGCCGCACTCGAATTCCCCCCCTTCGGTTCGTCGTGGCCCGCATTTATGTGCAATTCGCATAAAACATATTTTCAGGCATTCCAGAGCTTTGGTCAATGCTCCTGATGTTTCTACGATGTTTCCTCATCCAGCTCTTTTCCGAACACTGAACAAAACTACTTTAAAAGCTGATGATAACATTATATTATCTGGTCCCTAAGGATTTCTATGTGCTGAAATAAATTGAGGTCAAAGCTCTTTTAAAGAATTTAAAATTACGTTCGTATTTTCATGTTTCAGTCAGTTTTACCACTGATAAGAATAATCTGTGTTGATTTTTATATGTTTTGTGCTCTTTGTAATCTAAAGGTTTTGAAAGAATATTTTTAAATAAAAAAGCTGCCTCATTTGTTTTTTCAGTGCTCTTCTGCTCCATGTAGTTTGTGTCAATTGTTTGAGCCTGAATTGTTTTGGCAAATGTTTGAAGAGCAGCCACAGACACGCACACACATGAGCGGGGTGCATCTGTGTGTGTGTGGATGAGGGAACATAGATCCCCAGGCTCATTGCACTCGTACACCCCCTAACCACCACCCTCTACCCTGCACCCTGCACCTCTATTCCCTCGTTGAGCTGAGCCAACTTCCGGTTATGAACCCGGTGCACCTTTCGCATTTCGCATTTGGCATTCGCACTGCAATTCCTATTCCCATTCAGGTTCACGCTTCAGTTGCTCAGCACATACCCATTCCCATTGCCAGACCCGAAACCCACTCCCCTCCCCCGTCCAACGAATCCTTCCGTGCACTCATGGCTAAGTGCAGTGGCGTACTCCGTTTTTGAAAATTAGTTGGCAACGCAAACGAGCTGAGGCCCAAACAAAATGCTTTACTTGTTAGAGGTCATTAACGCTGCCATTGTTTCGTCGCTGGGTTGCCCTCCATAGAGCGTGGACACTGGCAAAGGTCACCCGCAAGTGGCAGCGGATGTGCTCCGGGTTGGCTCATTAAAATCGGATTTTTCGACTCTGCCCCCGCTGCACAAACACAATAGATCTCGCCCCGCGAGCGTTTAGAGCTGCTCCATTAATGGCCAGTGTTCGCACTTGAACGCGCATCGCTTAAACAGCGGATAGGATTAAACCTATAATGGAAATGGTTACACCACACTCAGGAGAACAATTGTCTATGTCGTTATATAGTATTATGGATTTAAAATGAACTGCAGTGCCTACTAGACTTTTAAATTGCCTATTGCATGTTGAAGCTATTTTCTAGGTCATTATGAGATTTCCTACAAAGATTCACTTAACAGGAATATATAGAGTATATGTTTAAATCAGACAAAACAATAAATTTGAACTCACATTTAATAGCACAAAAAGGTCAATTCTCATTAAAAATGATTTCTAAGTAGATAGTCATAGTTATGTAGCTTTAAGTAGAAAATATACTCTGATTACTAATGAATATCTCTAACGATCTTCTAATTCCAGATAGTGCCACCTATGTGGGCAACACCCTGCGTATCAAGTCGGTGAAGAAGGAGGACCGCGGCACCTACTACTGCGTGGCCGACAACGGAGTGAGCAAGGGCGACCGGCGCAACATCAACGTGGAGGTGGAGTTCGCCCCGGTGATCACCGTTCCGCGTCCGCGACTGGGACAGGCCCTGCAGTACGACATGGATCTGGAGTGCCACATCGAGGCCTATCCTCCGCCAGCCATCGTGTGGACCAAGGACGACATCCAGCTGGCCAACAACCAGCACTACAGTATCTCGCACTTCGCCACCGCCGACGAGTACACCGACTCGACGCTCCGTGTGATCACCATCGAGAAGCGCCAGTACGGTGATTATGTGTGCAAGGCCACCAACCGATTCGGAGAGGCCGAGGCCCGCGTCAATCTCTTCGAGACGATCATCCCCGTGTGCCCACCGGCCTGCGGACAGGCGTACTTTGCCGGAGCCGAGGATGTGGCCGCCACCTCGTTCGCCCTTGTGGGCATCCTGGCGGCGCTTCTCTTCGCCAGATAAGCCAATGGGCCACTCGGCCGCCAACTCCAAGCGCTCCAAGTCCAATCCATCACTCAGCCCTCGAATGCATAAAACATACATTAAATAGATATATCGAAGACCACATCGTATAACCGCGCAATAGATGTCTCAAACGAACTCAGACCTCTTATCCATTTTCCAGTTTTCAATTCGTTTCGTAGATTCTTCTTCCGTTTTAGCCCCGCCCAATTTTCGTACGTCCAATATTATGTCTTAAGTTAAGTATGCTAAGTGAAAGGGCCAACGATAACTAGAAATATAATTTATTAGCACCTTAGAGCCGAAATCCAACCGAAATTCGAATCCAACCCAGCCGCAAACGATGCATTCCACCTTGATCCCGTCCGTTTTGCTTTCTGATCTGGCACTGTATATGTTTTAAATATTTTAATCTAAGCAAGATACATCACAGCATTCCGATTTTGCTTCGACAATTAAGAGAATATTTTATTTTTATTTAATAAATAATAAAGTATTTTCGTTATGCAAATCTGACAACTCGAATAACTATCTCCCTAAAAAATCTAAACCCCATAATCGAGGCAAAATCCATATTCGAATAAAGGCAACAAAAGTTGTGTACATTTTTAGCTCTTAAGCACAATAAGAAATTCTTTTTAATAATAACAAATTTGTATCCAAATTTTTGTGTGCGAGTGAGTAAAATCAATTTCGACTTTGTAATACAAAAAAAGACAAAACATAAAACCAAAATAAGCAAAAAAAATCAATAAAAATATTAAAAACAAAAAACTTTTAGTTTTCAACAAGGGTTGGGTTTCATTTAGTTTAAAAAATGTGTAAATGAGAACGATAAAGTATTCATAATACAAATAACAGAGCGATTGGGCTGGTTGTTAATTAGGTGGTGCCCTGATTGAACCTCCGTTCGTGGCCATGCGATAGTAGAGATTGAACTCTGACTCGTAGTCCGCAAAGCTTCCATTATTGTATCGTCTACTAGGGGGAACGTAGCGACGCAAAGGATTCTCGAGCAGGAAGTGGTAGATGCGCTCGGCCTTTTCCAGTTGCAACTGAGTCTTCACGCCGATGGCCATAAGGTTGTCCAGCAATTGGTCAATTTCCTCGTGCTGTCGATTGGCCTTCAGCCTCAAATCGTGCGGGTCAACTTGGGGGATTTCGTTTTTCAATCAAGCGGATATGAGACAAAATGTCTGAATTGAGCTTACCAATTAACGGCTGCAAATTTAATTTCAAGTCAGACGTGTGTGCGGCAATTGCTGACGCCCACAAAATGCGTTTACGGACTTCCTGCAGAGCGCCGAAGGGTGTTAGCAAATAGCCGGGCGCCAGTTGAACGGTGGAGGCCAGCTCCTGCGCCTCGACGATGAGCGGATTGGCCGACAACAGGAAGGAGCTGCCGGAAAAAACACGAGCTCTTGATTAATGGGAAAAGTAATCATTCACAAGAGGTGTACATTTACCAGGAGCGCGGCATGCAGCTCAGCTTCTCCAGTGGTATTTCTACAAAGGTATTCAGTTCCAGTAAGTGCGCGGGTACAGTGGATCCAGAAGCAACCATAGTATTAGAGCCTACCCCTCCCGGCATCAGAGTTTTGTTATCGAAGCTTCGACGCATCGTGGAGTTCATGGCGCTACAGTTTCCATCGAACTCAACCTTTGTGCTCGAAAACACACTATCGTTGGCCAAGCAGAAGCTTTCCGCCCCAAGCATGGACATGTTGCTGACCTTCAGCTTGGTGCTCATCAGCTGGGACTTTGCGTTCTGCTTCTGTGTGGCCGCCTGCATGTCGTCCAGCAGATTCTTCATCATGTTTCGCGAAAATAGTACCTTTTCCTTGATCTGGGACAGCTGAACCATATCCTGCTGGATGCGATTGATGCTAGCGTTGATGTCGCCATACACCTGCTTCACAGAGCCCAGTTTTAAATCGTGGTTCTCCAGTTGCTTCGCACCAGCCTCCAACTCGACACGCAGTAGCTCAATCTGCTCGCGTAGGAAATCGTTCTGAGCACGATTGAAATTGCGCATGTTGTACTGGACAAGATAGTCGCTGATCAGCTCGTCCGCGCTCTCTTCGTCCTCCAAGCTGATGCCGTTGAAGCTGTAAACCTTCGTTTGCATCTTGTCCACGAACACGCTGTAGTCCTGACAGAAGCGTTCCTCCTTCTGTTCAAGCTCCTTTTGGGCTCCAAAGAATTTGGCCGCCATACCAAGCATATCGGCCTTGGTCTTTAACAGCTTTACCTCGTAGTTATTAAGTGGTGGTTTGGCCGTGGTGCAATTGCCTCTGGTTTCGTTCAAGTGCATTATGTGCTGAAGCTGCTCTTCCTTGATCTTCATAATTACGTTAAAAAGCAGGGCGTTGGGGATATCAGCAAAGGTACTCCGCATTTCATCCCACAGGCGCTGCTTTGCATCCGCCAGGCTGTGAATTGCATTGCCCTCATCACACATTCCGTAGAAGGCCTCCAGCTGCTTAAGAGCCTGCTCTACAGCCCGCGTGGCCTGCGCCTCACTAGCATTCTTAGCACTAAGCTTTACAGGTGTGGTGGCCAAGATCTGCGCTTTGTTCTTCAGCTCTTGATCGTAGTTCTTGTTAAGGGATTCCAGCTTTAGCTCTAGAATATTGCATTTCGATTCGAGCAGTTGCTTTCGGTTTTCGGCACTGATGGTTTGAATGTCTGTAGGGGATTCCCACGATCAGAAGGGTTTCTTATTGGAGTTTTGTACTTACTTTTGGTTTTGATGCTGGCGGATAGCTTCTGGAACTCATTTCTGAACTCAGCCAATTGTTGACCCGCCTTCTCCTTTTTCTTCTTCAGCTCCTGGATCGTTTGGTAGCACTGCAGTTCCGGTGGCTGAAAACTCCGGGATGCGAGTGGCACCATTTTGTCCTTGTGACGGGTCACTTGGGCAATTAATAGGTTCTCGCGCACCTCGCGTACGTATTCCACCGGTTGGATGCGGGATTGTAGTTGTTCCAGAAGCGAACTAGAGCCGGACTTAAATATCCTTTTAAGAAGAATTTGAGTTTTGGCTTTATTCTTGTGTGATTTTTTACTTTCCGCTATAACTTACCTTCGCAGCGCATCATCGGCGGGTAGAGCAGTGGGCGGGCATCCCAGGCCGGTGGCCCAGTTCTTAAATTCTGCTATTTTCTCCTGGTAAGCCATGATTTGCAATAAATTATTTTTTTCGCAAAAGGGCGCAGTTGTTTAAACCGGGCATTCACCAACACAAACAAATCAGACAGGGTTGCCTACCCATCGCTATCTGCTGCAGGTTGGCAGTCCTCATAACGGAAATATAAATTCAAACTAGCGACCCATTTATATTTTGTTAAAGGGCCGAGACAAAATTAAATCTTTCGGAAACACTCCTGCCTTATTAATATATTCAGCGAAAAATAATTAAAATTTATTTAAATTGATTAACACTTGCAATAACTTTCATGAAATAATGAAGAGTGCTGGAAAATGCATTTGTTGATAAACAGCTGGGTTATTCGGAGGACTAGCTTATTTAGCTTTTTTTTTGGCGGTTCCTATTTAAACAAAAAAACCGTTTTTTTTAGTGGAACTTTAATAAATGATTAAACAAACATTTTATGATAATAGATTGTATGTGATACTGTCTCTATAATAATGATACAATTATTTGGGTTGAAATGTTGTTTAGCTATTTTTTAGCTGAAATAGTACTCAGCTGTAGCCATCCGCCTCTTGGTTTCCAGTGCTGCTAAATACCCGCTGTCTTTTGAGCGGCGCACGTGGAGCAAAATCAAAGTGCTCACGTTTTCCTCGACTTCTGCTCCAAAAACCGGATAAATTAAGTTAAAAACATGGGACGCAAGGCGGAATACAGTGAAAAACCGAAAAAGGGACCTGGCCGCAAGGCGCGCAAACAGGGACCGCCTGTATTTCGCAAGCAATCGTTTGGTAAGCGGCAATACAAATATAAGGGAATCTTTCAGTAGTTCACTTTGAATGATTTGTTTAACAGCTCCCCAAGAGGAAGACGATAAGAAGCTATCCCACCGACAGAAGCAGCGGTTCGTCAAGCGGGAGCAAAAAAAGTAGTCCAAAAAGCCAAACTGCAGGAAAAGCGGGCCAAGGGAAAACAGCCCCAACCAGCTAAGCGGAAAACGGCCTATAACAGCGATAGTGAGCCAGAGAACGAGGAGGAACGAGTGGAGCAGCAGCAGCAGGAGGCTTCCTCCGACGAGGAGGTGCCCCAACTGGTGCCGGCTCCCAAGAGCCAGAAATCCAAGGCTCCCAAAGGCTTCACAGATGACAACGATGACTGGCTGAAGCCCAAAAAACAGCAGAAACAAGTGAAGCAACCAGAATCTGAGTCCGACGAAGACGAAGAAGAGGATGAAGATGAGGAGCTGGAGGAGGACTCTGATGCTGAACTGGAAGACGATTCCGAGGGCGAGGATGACTTGGAAGCAGAAGAGTCCGGCGAGGAAGAGGACGATGAGGAGGAAGAGGACTCCGAAGATGACACCGCCCAAGTCGGCAAGCTGGGCGATCTCTCCGATGACGATGGGGTCAACTCCGACGATGACTTTGATATTTCCGGCGAGGAAGATGGGGCCGAAGCAGAAAGCGATGGGGATGATGATGAGGACGACGACGATGATGATGACGACAAGTTGCCCATCGAGCGCGCCAACAAGAAGCTGAAAAAGCGCGAGGCCAAGGAAGCGCAGCTTGCTGACGAAGAAATGCTCGAAACTGTTGACCGACAGGATGTTTTCCAGCTGCCCACCGAAGGCGAAGAGACCGAGAAGGATCTTACTTTGCAGGAGGTGCAGCAGCGCATTAAGGACGTCAGCTTGGTCCTTTCGGACTTTAAAAAGTACCGCCAGCCGGATCGGTCCCGCGGGGAGTACATCGATTTGCTGCGCAGGGATCTGTGCCTTTACTACAGCTACAATGAGTTTTTGATGGAGAAGCTGATGGACATGTTTCCGTTGACTGAGCTCATGGAGTATTTGGAGGCCTCAGAGGTTAGTACCCCCTTTAACAATGAGATACAGGAATGTTACTTAAAAAATGAATTTTTCAGGTCGCTCGTCCATTAACCATTCGCACGAACACTCTAAAAACGCGTCGTCGGGAATTAGCTGGTGCTCTAATCAATCGTGGCGTCAATTTGGATCCCCTGGGCAAGTGGACTAAGGTCGGATTGGTGGTTTTCAACTCGCAGGTGCCCCTGGGTGCCACTCCAGAGTATCTGGCCGGTCACTATATGATCCAGGGTGCCTCTTCGCTGCTGCCTGTAATGGCACTCGCCCCGCAGGAGAACGAACGCATTCTGGACATGTGCTCTGCCCCTGGTGGCAAGGGATCCCACATCGCCTCCATAATGAAGAACACTGGTGTGCTGTTCGCGAACGATTTCAACAGGGATCGTATCAAGGCCGTTGTGGCCAATTTCCATCGGCTGGGAATTGTAAATGCGGTGGTTAGCTGTGAAGATGGCACCAAATTCCGGAATATTATGACTGGCTTTGATCGAGTTCTGCTGGATGCTCCTTGCACAGGCTCTGGCGTCGTCTCTAAGGATCCCAGTGTGAAGACCACCAAGTCGGAAGTGGATGTTCAGCGGTGCTACAACCTGCAAAGGAAACTCCTGCTCACAGCCATCGATTGTACGGACGCAAAATCGTCGAGCGGTGGCTATATTGTCTACTCCACCTGCTCTGTGCTTCCTGAGGAGAACGAATGGGTAATCGATTACGCGCTAAAGAAGAGAAATGTGAAGCTAGTGCCCACTGGCCTTGACTTTGGCGTCGAGGGCTTCACCAAGTTCCGGCAGCATCGGTTCCATCCCAGCTTAAACCTCACCAAACGCTACTATCCGCACACCCACAACATGGACGGATTCTACGTTGCCAAGCTGAAGAAGTTCTCCAACACCATACCAATTACCAAGGAGCAACAGGAGGAGGATGAGAAGCAGCTGGACGAGGCCATCGAGGCTGCAGCCACCACAGAAACGGCGGAAGAGAATGAAGACGAGGAGGCGAAGGATAAGGGTCCTCGAAAACTTCTGGGCAAGCGAGCCGGCAAACCAAGTTACACCGAAATCGAGAAGGAGCTTAAGAAGAAAAAGCGGGAGGAAAGCAAGACGAAGTATGTGGCCAAGGTGTTTGAGCAGCCCGTGAAGGCGCCTAAAAAGCCAAAGCCCGAGAAGCCGCAGCAGAAAAAGGAGAAGAACTCCCAGGTACCAGAAGAGAAAACAAATGAAAACGAGGGATCCTCCAAGTCGACGGATAAGAAGACGACTCAAGTCAATGGCAACGCTCCAGCTCCTAAGGCAGGTGCCAAAACATTTAAGAAAAAAGGCGAACAAGCAGTCAATGGTAAAGGTTCAGCACCAAAGCCTGTGGACAAAAAGGAAAAAGTCAATGGCACAAGTTCACCTGCCAAGAAAACGGCAAAGGAACCCAAAGCGAAACCCCAGGCAAAGGTAGAACAGCCAGCAAAGGCCAAGGCATCCAAATTGGCCAAGGCACCAAGAGTGGATATAGATGATGTGCCCGTTCTGGAGGGCAAGCCCATTAAAAAGCAAAACAAGCTAAAGCAAAAATCCAAGCAGATCGGCCAGCTGAAAAAGTCGAAAGCGGGAGGGAATGCGGGAAAGAAGCAAAAGTTCAAGAAGTGAACCCTTAAGATCCAGTTTGGTTAAGTGTAGAGTAAGCCATATAGTTGGGGTAGTCCCGACCCGATTACCTGTTTTATATTGAGAACTGTCTTAGCTAAGAATTATCGATTGAACTACAACAGTGCTGTAATTAACGATCAGATTCAATAAACGCTAAGCTCGGACTAATGTAGTCACTAGGCGGGTTTATCCGAGTTTAATTGGTTGCTGATATTTCGGGTAAGCGGGAAAATAAATCCACATTTCAGCTGAGAAGCTTTTTGTTGCATTGACCGACTTATCAATTCCAGAACCGAAGCTTTTAAGCCAGATCAAAGGTGTTTAAGCTCAGCCGATGAGATGATTTGCGATTAATATTTTTTTTTCAGTACTAATTGAGCGAACAACATGGGAGGTTTACTCGCGCTGTGTTTTTGTCTGCTGGCATCATTGGTTTTCATCCAAGCGGAGGTGGATATAAACATTGCCACGGCCAATCAGATTCACAAGAATCTAAATCGAACATCATCGCCGTGTACGAATTTCTGGAATTTTGCCTGCGGCGGTTTTGAAAATGCATCAAAATATGTTGATAACTTCGAATGGGTTGAGGATCAGTTTGCCAGTGCCATGGTGGAATTCATGGAGAGCAACTTGGGAGCAAACGACCCTGAGGCACCGCTACTAATTAATCAGATGCGATCATATTACAAAGCCTGCACGGAGGATAAGCGAAAATTAATCGTAAGCAGTCCTTCTCCAGAATTATTGCAATGGGCGGTAGAAACGGACAAGTTTCTTCAGCACGGCTTAAACGGCGTATTTTTTGATGAGCGCGTTGATGTGGCCACAAATGATTCCACCCGTTTGGTTATTCAGATAAAGATGCCCGATGCGAGTGCAAAATATAGTGAAATGCGGGCATTGGAGCTCCTTAATTTATATAATTGGGAGTATAAGAATGAAATGATCCAATTGGTAAATAAATTGCAACAGTTGCGGGGTGATCACAGCGTGGAGAATCCAGTTGTATATACTTGGCGTTACAACGAAATCAAAGAGCAATTACCTAATTTTCAGTGGGATTTAGTTTTTGATAATCTGTTGGGTGAGCCTCATACAATGAAAACCTTGGATCACCTGCTTTTTGAGGTCAGTGATGTGGAATATCTAAGGGAAGTCATTCAACTTTTAAAGAATCTCGACAGCAATGTTACAGATATGTATCTTCGAGTGCGCCACTTGGTTTTGATTATGGAATCGGAACCTAGAGTTCGGAATTCAAGGACCTGCATCCACCACATGCGTGCCTTTCTACCCCTAGGTGTAAATTATATCTACGACCGATTTGTGTACCAGAATCGGGAACAGGACAACCGACGGCTTCAAGAGATCTTGGGAAGTCTAAAAGCCACCTTTGGAAAATACTTGAGTGGCAATCGTTTGCAGCTTGCGCCACATCAGTTAACCTACGTAAGAGATAAATTGGCTGGCATTCGGCTTAAAGTAGGAAATTTACCAGAGGAAAAGTCGCCAGATTTCTATAACACCCACTACGAGAGCGCTAATTTCACAGACTCAAGTTTCATGGGAAACCTAATTCAAGTTTTGGCTCTACGCACTCGTCTCCAGCATCAGGTACTTTTAAAACCTGGTTCTAGACTGGATATGCAGCGGTACTACGTCAACGATAATGTGCTGAAGGCACGAACTTCTCCCTTTTATGAAAACGAAAGGAACACCATTACCGTGCCTATGGAATTTTTACAATGGCCTTTGTTTGATCACCGGCAGCATTCCATTTTCCAGGGGAGTCTTTTGGGAGCAGTTTTGGGCCACGAGATGAACCACGCCTTCGAACAGGAGGGCATACTATTTGATGCCCTCGGAAATGAGTCACCTGTGGGCTTGGAAATCCGAGAATCGCAAGCATTTAGAGATGCAATCAAGTGTGCGGAGGGAAAACCTGCTGTTTCCCTAAAGGAACGACTGGCTGACCTTAATGGTCTGCAGTTGGCCTATGATTCTTTCTTTGGATTGGACCATGATTCCCGGAAGTTTGAGTACCGTCCGTATGCTTTCGAGTCGGAGTTTACGGCACCCCAACTGTTTCACCTCAGCTATGCCCAATTCTTCTGCGGGTCCCTGCCACCGGTGATCGCTCACGATCGAGATGATGAGCGTGTGAACGTGAGCGTTGGCAATTTGCGTCAATTTGCATACGACTTTAAGTGCCAGACGAGCCAGTCGTCCGTCTGCGAAATGTGGCGTCCGCGGGAGGAGAGCGCATCAGGTTACTAAGAAATGAAAATGTGCACCCATAACCATTAAATGTATCTGAAAATACATGATGATAAAATATGAAATCCTCCAAATACAGATGTGTTCGATTTCATCCAAAAGTTTTTTTTAAGCCGACTTACTTGAAAGGTATTCTAAAACTAATAAGAAAGTTATTTTAATGTAATTAAAATTTTATTTTCCTACGATCTTTGCTTTGAATAAATTAGTAAATTAAACTTTAGGACATTAAATATTTACTTTAAATATTCTCTACTCTACAGATTTTGTTAATTCACCCTATATAATTTCTGGATTCAAATAAAATCTGCTTACTCTTTGAACCAGATAGTACTACCAGTTTAAAAACCATCTAAAATCGTTTTCCCAACCCTTGGGTATTAAACGTCTTATTCCTGTTTAAAGTGGACAAAACCCATTCGGCGGCCCATTCAACTTGAGTGTCAATTGCAGACCGAATCAAAATCGCAACGACAATCGCTGCAATCGTCAATTGAATGCAAATACCGCAAAAAATGCCGGTCTCACCGCGAGCTTTTCGCTCTCCCATCCGCTCTCTCTTTGCCCACAGAGCTTTTCAACTTGTTGCGGTAGTTGACTTCAACTGGTGTTGTATCCTGCATTGTTGTAGTGTCGGTGTGTGGGCGCTATTGTACTGTTGTGTGGGTGTGCTTTTCCTCAAAGCTCGCATTTTCATCCGCCCCGTTGGCCGCAGTTTGGCGCTGTCTTTGGCCGCCTTTGGACGCGTGTGCCGCGCTGCTTCAATTGGATTGCCCGTAATCTTGACCGGCCGATGCTCCACCGATAATCTCGCCCATCTCGAATAGAGCGCAGCCTCCAAAAAACACGACAAGCGCCGCAGGCTTAGATTTGTTTTACGTCTTGCGGTTTCTTTTTTTCATTCGGGAAGTGTTCCGTTGCCGTCTAAATTTAAACGTGTTCCCGAGATTCTAAATAAAATGTGTCATTCCGCGATCGTGCGTGTGTGTTAAGTAATGCAAACAAATAAATGATAATGATAAAAAGGCGATAAACGTTTAAAGCTTCGAGCAAGAAAAGAGGTGCAAAAAAACAAAAAGAAAACCCCATGTGAGTGCGACGAGGGGTGCTAATGCGAGAATTCGCCAGTTAGTTCGATGGAGCGTGAGACCCTGAGACCCTGACCCCCAGAAAGATACCAAACATCCCCAAAAGATCAGATTCCTCGGCCGGTGCATAACGAATTAGGCAAATACCGGGCTGCCGGGCCATAAAAACATTCCCAAAACGCCACGGGGTGGCGCACTGGTTCCGAATTCAAACCCATAGCCGAATTAAAATCCAAGTGGCGATGATCACTTAGCAGCTTGCTCCCATTAGCAAACAATGGAAAAGTCCGCAAATAGACTTTAAATTGAAGAATAAACGTCTGATTAGACTCAATGGCCGTCGGATTATCCACTGCCAGCTTCACAAAAGGCGAAAACAAATTACCAAGGTGAAAGGGGGCGGGCGGCGGTGCAAAGGGAATAATATATACATGTTTTGATGATACACAGAAAAAACTTTAATTTGCATATCTTTCAATTTATTAACTAGTTTTTATTTGTTAAATATTTCGGTTTATTTAACTATTATTATTGTAACTTATTGTTATTGTTTATCTGTAAAATCATATACCAAACAGAAAGTTTTGATTTAAACAAAGTTATAATCATTGGTATGATTTAAAAATTAAATTCAAAGAATTTTTGAAAGGTAATTGGTAACTTAATAAACTTATTTTTTTTAAGTATAGCAAGTTAGCTTAGCCAGAGATTCTTGTTTCATCTGTATAGGATTACAGTTTTTTTAGTTTGTGCCTTTTCTGGATTTTATCTCATATATGCAAATGTTTGTGCTCCATTTGCATGTTTACGGCTCGTTTTATCCGGACAGAGAGGGCCCCGAGGTGCTTGGGGACATCATGTCCTGTTCTGTTACGTTAACCCTCCTCTCTCGCTTAACTCTCGGCTTCCTGCATCCTGCAGTGGGATTTTTTAATTAATTCTTATCCGGCAGGATGGGCATCCTCTTGCCTTCTCTGAACTGCATTGCAAAATTCAGCTCTCATGCATATTTCAGATCGGCACCATGCTCCTCCCCGCCCACAACGTGTTGTTAATATTTAGCAAAGATAAACATTTGTAAAATTCACCCTTTATATTCGCCAGTTCCACATGCACTCCCCGATTCATTAGGTCGCCTGCGCTCGGTCCCCCAAAAGGTAAACAGGGAATAAAAACGCCGTCTGGGTTCGGGACTCAGCAGAGCGAAATTGTTTGCGACGCTCGAGTATGAATTGTTAAGTAAATACGAAAATTTAATTATACTCGATTGTAAGAAGGCGAAACAAAAGGGGGAAATGTAAGTGCGGGAAAACATTTTCGGGGGGTGGGCTTAAATTAGCAAATGGCTTTCGAGTGTAAGTGCGCCAAATTCGAGTGCCTTTTGTTCGATATACTAACTCCAAATGCATTTTGCGTGTTTGGAGTGGCTGACTTTGTTCGTTTGCCCTTTGCGTACAATTCCCCCATTTCTCTCGCTTGTCAAACACCTCTACACGGGAACAAAACATGATAGTATCGAATTCAAATAGATTTTGATTGGTATTAGCTGTTTGTCTACCAAACCAAATCTTTATCATTTTACAGATTGTTCAGTATCGAATATTAGGTCATATTTGCAGCCATATACATAGATATCATATCTGTTATATGAAGAGTACATAAACAAAAAAAGGGTTTGTTTTATAGCTTGAATTTATACAAGAAAATGTTATGCTTTATATAATACATAATGAGCAACTTTTTTATTTTACTCTTCATACTATGGTGACCGCATAGTGCTGGTTATTTTAATATGCAAATGGACGATTATTGTTCAGACATTTTTCTCTATGTTTCCTTGCTAAAAGCCACTGTTTGCAGAGCGTTTTTCTCCCTCCCGCAGTTAGCTAATTGAATTTTCTAATAAGTATTGATTGCTCTTATAGCAGCTGCTCGTAGTTGGCTCTCCATGATGCTGGCTGCTGGCTGTTGGATGTTGGCTGCCAGTCTACCTGTTCCTTTATCTAGCTACCCCTTTTGCATCGAGTGCCCCTGGCGCTGCTGCCATAAAACAGATAAAGCAAACTTAACATGAACTCATGAAATTTTAAAATTACATCATGTTTATGGATCTGAGCGGGTGTCTGTGGGTGGGTGGCATTATTATGCACGTTTATGGGTCTGCCATCTCCATGGCTCCTGCTCCTCCTCGATCCACACACTCCACTTTACCTGCCATGCAACAGGCAATAAAATGCCCTCAGCTCTGTTGCCAAACTTGTGCGAAAATTGCAAATGAAAAGGGAAATATTTTTGTTTTATTCCGACTTTATTCAACTTTCTGTTTGGGTAGGGCATAAAACAACTTTACGGCTCCACACCGACCCCTCGTGCAAATCTTAAGCTGCGAGTTCAAAGCATCTTGAGAATTTGTTATGCCGTTGTAAGCCAATAAAATTAGTAAGCATATGAAATGAAGTCGTCTGGCAACGCGGCGTATGCTGGATATCGGTCCCCATTGCTCATACGCCATGTGCCCCCAGATCTCGCTTTTCTCCTCTCTTTCGCTGGCTGTGCTTCGTTTTGTTTCCAGTTTCTTTTAATTTGTAAACTTTCCCCGTGTCCGAGTGTGGGTGTCTGTGTTTGTGCTGTGTGTTTTTTGCCCGGCCCCAGCCCCAGAATGCCGTGTTTCACGGGGTGATGGTCAAGAGGATAAGGATGAGATGACGAAGCGTATGACGATGCCTGGCATCCGTCTATTTATTTGCTTTTGACCGGCCAAAACCATAAATATCGATATGATAGCGCCTGACTGCGCCTGCCATTCCATTGGGTTCGATTTAATTCGCCCCGACTCGACAGTGCGATGCGATGCGATTCCATTCGATTCGATTCGGTTCGATTTGATTTGGACGCCAGCTGACGCCGTCGCTGGCTTTTGACTTCAACACGCTTCGCTGGGCGGGCTCGTTCATTCATAAAGCTTCTGCCTTCCTGCTGGCCTATAATTTTTATTACTCTTCGTGTTTTTCAGTACATTTCATTTACGTGGTTTTTATCACGCAGCGCCTCTGTCATTTGGCACTGGCTTAAAGTCTTTTAATTGGTTTTAAGATAACATCACTTTGCACTGGAGGGAAATAATTAATACTTGGTGCGAAACTATTAAGTTTCCCATTGGGTTTTCATTTGGTGCATGAACTATACCATGTCCACTTGACCAAATAATATCAGTAGAAAAATTCTAATTATTTAATTCTAATTTCAAAAAAGAATAATGTATATGCTTTCCTTCTTTCGGTGTAATATCTAATTATGCTGAAACATCCTCCCTAATTTCAGGGCAATGATTTCATTATTCATTTGTAGATAAAATTTATGCACATATGATGCTTAATGGGAAGCATTTATATTTCACTGGGTTTATGTCACATTAAGAAACATGTGCAGGTTGTATTGTTTATTCTGCTTTCCCTTTAGGAAATATGTTTTCTGACAAAATGTATATAATTAAGGCTCCTATGTTTTATTACACATTCAGTTCCGGTACAGCTTTTTGCTACTCATTTCCAAATAATATTTATATATGACTTGTTGCCCTTCCACGGTTATCATAAGAATGAGAATTTTGTATCTCAACATTCCTGCTCTTCATTGAAATGGTTTCGTTATTAATCGGTTGACTTTGTTGGCCTAACGCGCATGTTTTGGATTGCATGTCCGTCTTCGTTAGCCGTTCTATTGCCCACATGCCGATTGCCAATTAATTTTCATTTGTTTTGACACTCCATAAATCATCGGAGCAGCAGTAGAGCAGCAAACTGGAGGGCAGTGTGCAGTGGTCAGCGAATATTGGGCATACGCCCTGTTGCACCAGCGCACCAGCGGCAAGCGAGACTTGCCCACCATTTTGGCCGAAACTGACTGGCCGCTGTTATTATTTACATTGGTCAAACAGTTGAAATGTTTATTTGGCCGCTGGGCATCTCATTGTGGCGCATTTAAGGCCAGATTAGTCGCCCTACATTGGCTCCAAATGACACGGATGCTGATGATTGCGATTGCGATGATCTTGGTGATGATCATCATCATGGTGATAACCACAAGCACGCGCTCGTCCAAATAATGCGCTTGTTTGCCATGCTCATAAATAAATCGCTGCCTCTTTTTTCGGATGGGGAGCTTAAGATTGTGGCATGACGACTTCTATGCCAGATGGTTGGCCATTTCGGGATTGAAGTCAAATATTTGCACACTGAAAATGAAGCGGGATGGAGCAGGGAAGGTTTTGCCGCAATCGGGAGGTTAAGGTCGAAGGGTCGTCCCCAGGATCTGCTTTCATTTTAATTGAATTCTTACACACAAACAAAAAACTGATGCGAGTCCCGCCTAAATGCTTTTATTAAAAGAATCCATAAGTTGTATATTAATAGTATGACGCCTTTCATTCCAAGAAATCAGCAAATTTTGAAATGTTTAAACAAGCTCGAAATCTTCCCATGAACAGATTTAGACTTTCCATAAATATCGCCCCCAAGACCTCATTAAATTATGAATATTCTATATTATATTTAATTCTATATATACCCCAGTTTGAAAACTTTTCCAATTATAAATATACACAGATGAAATTACATGTTTAATAGGTCAAAAAGGCAAGAATATTAATTTCATAACTTCCCCATCTTTAAGAAATTTAAATGTACAAAAAGGAATGCGAAAGATGCGAGCAAGGAAAATAAGAATGAAAGGCGGAGGATAAGCTCCCAGGTGGAATTGTTTTGGCGGATTCCGCGGCTGGCAACGTGTTGCAGGTGCAGCTGGTATTTCCTACCCCGTTCCAGAGATCAAAGTGACTGTTGGCTATTTATAGGGCGTAATTAGCAGCAGGTCGGACATGACCAAGATGCCCCACTCAGCTGCACAGCGAACCCTGACATTCGCAGATATAGCCCGCATAATATGTAGTGCCCCCAATCTCTTTTCCCCTCCACCAGTTGACACTGTGACAAAGCCACGGCTTCCAGCAGTTAAAGCGGTTAAAGCTATGTGCGTGAGACGAGACGAGATGAGATGTGATGAGTCGGCGACCCGGGGAGCAGCTCGCTGCCATGGTGTTTGTTCATTAATAAATAACTTGACACTCTTTGTTTTAATCACTGTGAGGAGCAGGAAATCTCTACCCACCGGAGCGGAGTGCTCGGCAGATGGAGAGCACGTTGCCAGGTGGAAACGCACATGCAGCCGGCTTACACATCTGTCACAGAATCCCCTGCCACAATTAACAGATAAAGTTACGGCCGTCGGACTAGTTTAATTACTTTCCTGCTTAATTGTTGAATGTAATGTTAATGCGTGACCGGAGTTTTTATGCGTTCCATAAAGTAATTACCCCCAGTGGCTGCCAAAGTTTAAATTGCTTAAAGTTCTGCCTTTCAATTAAAGTAATCATAAGGTAATTGCTCGATAACCTCCCGTATTATCAACTGCATCGCGTCCAATTAACTTCCTAGCTAGCTACCCCGTACTATAGTATGGTATTATTCAAAACCCGTTCTCACCCGTGCGAATCGGAATGTTTATCTCTGCCGTGCAATCTCCATTACAACAGCTTACAGTAAATATTATCGAGCGTGCAAGAATTATTGCACCTAATGGGGTTCTAATGGCCCGACGACCCCAGAATCGATCGGGGAGTGCGGCCCAAATATATAATGACAGACGGTCTGGAACGATTTTCAGTACGTGTGCCATATAAACCGTTCAATTACGAGGTTTTTTGCCGTGGAAAAGTGTTTCACTTCGCTCCCGCCCTTTTGGATTGCCATCAAAACCCAAAACCCACTCGCTGTCCATAAAGATTGTGCTGTAGTTATCTACATTTAATCTGAAACCCACTCCCATATACCGAGCCCAAAAAGGCACGTGATTCTCTGTTCTCATGTTTTATTTGAACAGATTTTTTATGATTTGTATACGCCAAGCATAAAAGAAGAAAACAACTCACCTTCGGGGAAATGAAGAGTGTTTTTCCGTGAATGATCCACTATTTAGCAAGCATATAGGATGCTTTATTTATTTCCCTCAATCAACACATTTTGAACCCCTGAGTTTGGCCTTCTGCTGGATATTCTGTTGAGTCATGGCAACCGGAATATTTAACCAGCAAGCAAATAAATGGTTTTTATAATATATAGCATATCTATATCTCTATATGAGCAAACGGAGGCGCTTCTTGGGTTCTTGGGGCTTCTTAGCTCTTCTGGGTTATTTGATTCTGTTGTGTTTTTTTGGGGAGGCGAAGACTCTTTACTTTAACTGATAAGAAGTATTCATTTCTTTCCTTTTTGCACCCACACTCGGCTTATTTGCGCAGATTCGCTTGATTGCGCATCGCACGGCGGAGAGAGAGAAAGTGTGTCCGCGGAGTGCCAGAGTTCAGGAGCGGAGACGCCTCGCTGACAGGTTCCTGCTGTCATCCATATTGCACCATCGCTCATCGGGCGAGGACCCATTAAAAGTTCGGATCCCAGGTTTCACTCACACTCCCACACTCCCCACATCCTCTCTAAATGGCGGACGACGATTTGAGGGCCCTGGTCGACAGCCTGGATGACGTCTCGCGTGAGGAGGACCTGGCCAAGGTCATCGCCAACTTCTCGATGGACATACTGCAGCGGGCCAGCGCCCTAATTGGCGCCCACCAGCCGCCCAGTGGGGCGCTGCAGAACCGAACGCAACTGTGTCAGGAGCAGGCGGACCTGGAGGCACAAACAGCTGGTGGCAAGCGGGTGAGTGGATCCTGCGATTCGGGGATGGGCGGGAATAGTGCTTTAGCCCCCTCTCACGAGGCACCAAACTCCCGAGTACTCCACTCGTTTTGTCACTGGAATATGTGGCACTAATTAGCCATCGCCATGCGTGTCAATACAGCAACTCGGTAATTTAACGCCCACTAAACCATGAAATGTATTAGTTTATAGATCGATTGGCTGCTCAAGCTGGTTTTCCACACAATTGATCCATTAATGCATGCATGTAAAAAAGTAAATATTCATTTGACGAAATTGAGGTATTCAAAGAGTAATTGATTTTGAATCCAAATAATAAAGTGTTTCAACCTAATTATATCGAAAAACGTATATATTCTTCTGACTCAATGATTAGTTCACCAGAAAATATATTTAAGCTAAAGGGTCTGTACAAATTAAAATTAAAAATTTTTATATATACCTATATAAAAATATTCATACTTTTAAAATAAGAATTCCACATATTTTTATAGCAATTAAAATAGGAAACAAGCCAGCCTATAAATATTTCTTTACTTGGCCATTAATTATCTTTAAATGAATAAGCCACATTTTTTATTGCAATTAAAATAGGAAACAGGCCAGGCCATTGCTTGAGAAATGATTTTTTTATTGGCCCATTGAGAATTCCACAATTAATTGTACTCGCTAATTGATCCATCTTCCTCCCGAAATTAATTGCCATCAATCCATCCGCCTGTCTGTCAGCCTTCCCAATTGTAAGTTAAATATGGAAATTCAGGCAACTGCCGATAGCTTTCAGATTCATTTTTTTGAAAATATTATAGCTGCATTTTATTTCCGGAAAATGCAGCAGATATTTATTTATGTATTCCTCTCGACTGTAAACAAAACGAGTCCCAAGGAAACCCACTTGAGACTATATTCGGGCGCTTTTGTTTACCTCGAATGCATGCTGAAAGCGGGGAGACACTGAAATCCAAGGGCGTTATTCTTTGGAAATGTCATAAAATATATCTCATGATTGTGACCAAACGAAGAGCCTAATGAATGAAAATCAGAAGTGCAAATATTGGCGGAGTTCCCAGTCGTGTTTGGCTTATTCGTTGACAGCCCAGTTTGTCGCGTGGCTAAGTCCGATCGCATTAGATGTCACAAGAGCTTTAGCTTATCAGTGGAAGCCATAAAAGAATTGACAGTCTGCTACGCAAAATTCTTCGATGAGTCTCAGGTTTGTCGCCGTCACCTGATAAGGTCAATAAAAATATCAATGGAAGCTCTGTTTCTAACAGCGCCAGCATTTCACCTGCGGCGATTAATTTGGCGGTACGAACTAGACTGGGTAAACAATCGCCCGGTCGTATACTTAACATTATTATATACTTTGTATATCCGTCTGTATGAAATTGTTTAGCACGCCATTGCAAATATATAAATAAAGCGATAGCCATCCCGCTGGTGATTTTTTTCGGGAATATACCAATAGATTGCCCACGCCGTGTGAGTGTGTATAGAATTTGGAAACTCAATTGATTAAAGCAAATTCTACTACACATTCATACGTCATGCGTCAGGCCCATAAAATTTCACGACCAGAAATGAAGGCATCGAGCTATTGTGTCAGATTCGGCTAATAAATCTCCCGTACTCTGGATAAATGAGTTGTAGGTTAGGTCAGGTTCGTTTATAGAAGGGAAACTTAATTACTCTGCGGCATCAGCGCTAAATGCTTGTAAATGTTTACCCAAGGTTTCCTAAACTATGTTTTCTTTGCCAATCTTTGTATATTCATAGCCCCGAAATCGGTTGTTGTTTTTACAGATTTTACAATGTCCCAGCTCGTTTGATTCGGTGCTGTGTTGGCCGCGAACAAATGCCGGCAGCCTGGCAGTTTTGCCCTGTTTCGAGGAATTCAAGGGCGTTCACTACGACACCACAGGTTTGCATTTGAGAATCGATGATGTACATAAAATAATTTATTTGTTTATCTTTAGAAAATGCCACTCGCTTTTGCTTTCCAAACGGAACGTGGGACCACTACTCGGACTACGATCGTTGTCATCAGAACTCTGGTTCCATACCCGTAGTGCCAGATTTCTCACCCAATGTCGAACTGCCGGCAATAATATATGCCTGTGGTTACTTCCTAAGCTTTGCCACCTTGGTGGTGGGCCTCATCATATTCCTCAGCTTTAAGTAAGCATTCCCACCATAAATAATTTCCTTAAATTTAAAATTAAAAAATCTCTAGAGATCTGCGTTGCCTGCGAAACACCATTCATGCGAATCTATTCCTCACCTACATCACTTCAGCCCTCCTGTGGATTCTCACTTTGTTTCTGCAAGTGGTAGGTTTTTTCCAGAAGTACATTTCTCATTTCCCTAATTAATTATTCGCCCAGATTACCACAGAGTCTAGTCAGGCTGGCTGCATAACGCTGGTCATCATGTTCCAATACTTTTATTTAACAAACTTTTTCTGGATGTTTGTGGAGGGTGAGTTCAAAGGCGGCTCCCTTTGAGTTGAATTATTATCATCGGCTTTTTATAGGTCTCTATCTGTACACTTTGGTGGTGCAAACATTCTCCAGTGATAACATTAGCTTTATTACCTACGCTTTGATAGGCTGGGGCTGTCCAGCTTTATGCATTTTGGTGTGGTCCATTGCCAAGGCATTTGCTCCACACCTCGAAAACGAGCACTTCAATGGGGTAGGTCCTTTGTCCTTGAGTAAGGACTACTTAGTAACCTTTGTGTAATTTTTGTTAAAGCTGGACATTGATTGTGCTTGGATGCGTGAATCTCATATTGACTGGATTTTCAAGGGACCTGCCTCACTGGCTTTGCTGGTGAATTTAGTATTTCTCATACGCATCATGTGGGTGAGTTCTTGCTTGATTTAAATCTATATTACTTTCTCTTAATTATTGTTTATATATTTTACCTTATAGGTGCTCATCACTAAATTGCGTTCTGCCCACACCCTGGAAACGCGGCAGTATTATAAGGCCTCGAAGGCTCTGCTGGTGCTGATACCTCTTTTCGGGATCACTTATCTGTTGGTCTTAACCGGACCGGAACAGGGCATCAGCCGTAATCTCTTCGAGGCCATAAGAGCCTTCCTCATCAGCACACAGGCATGTTCGCACCTCCATTAATTCCCCTTTGCTTTGAATTAATTGAAAATCCTTTTGTAGGGCTTCTTCGTAGCGCTTTTCTACTGTTTCCTAAACTCCGAAGTACGTCAAACGCTGAGGCATCGTTTCACCCGATGGCGCGAGAGCAGGAATATCCACCGGAACAGTTCCATCAAGAATCGCAGGTGGGCTAAACAAGAATCATTCGAGGAGCACCCGCACTCATTTGGCATTCTAACGCATTGTTGTTGTTGGACTTTATAACCCCGGCTATTGACATATTGGCTTTACTGTACACTTTGCACTATTTGATGTGGCTATTGGCTGCCAATGTAGTTGTTCGCTGTTGTCGTCGTTGTTGTCACTTAACCAATTAATTTCCATTTCAGGCATCGCGCCTCAAAAGACTACTCGCTGAGATCGCGAACCGAAAGTCTACGGTGCGTATACGCAATGCTCATGTATATGCTTTTTCTCTCTCTTTAAAAACGCTACTTTCAAAAACTAATCCCAAAACTAAATTGAAACCGTTTCGCTTTAAATACTAACACATCTAAATACTTTCCAAAACTCTGCACCTTTTGGATTTATCGGGTTTTAAACGTTTTCTGCATGATCTGTTTTCTTCTTATTTGTTTTTATCAATTTATTTTCGTGTTTCTGATTTGGGGTTTCCTCTTTTCTGCTTATCGTTTTTTTGTAGACTGACATCAACAAGTCCTGTACCCACCGGACACTATGAATGAACACCACACACAAATATGTATACGACACAGAGATTTCCCCCACATACATGTAGACCATATCCTTTTGTCCTTAAGTATTGCATGATAGTTTACAACATAAGAGCTCAGATTAAAGTATTATATTTTTTATAAACGGATGCAAGGTTTTTAGTTTTCGTTCTTGGAGTTCCCTACGACTAATTGCAATTGATTTTCAGCACGGAGGAGTGTGTGATCTGCCTGCGTCCTTCGCCGCACACGCGATTGGGATCTCTGCAACGCTACCACAGCATCGATATCACAGACTTTGTTTAGGTTTCATTGTTTTTAACTGGCATTTATTTAGTCCAATTCGTGTCGCATGAGCCGCTCATAAAACTGCCCGAAAACAAAGCCCTCGGTGTCGTAGGTGCGGTACAAACCATACCAATCCTCGTTCACATGGCGCTTGTTGTAGACGGGCAGGCAATGACTCGGGAAGTAGTTAATCGATGTGTATCTGATCAGATCGAACTCGCAGGGAGCATGGAATATCTTGAGTTCCAGTCCAGGATCATTGGAGCGAGGTATTCTCCGGATGACGGTGGAGGAATGATCCTGCTGCATTTGCATCTGAACTCTTGTTGACGTAGGCCTTTCCTGGCTGATTTGCATTCTTAACTGAAGTAGAAGCTGGATAAGTGGGATTGGCAAATTCAAGGTGCATCACAACTTACCACTAGAATCAGTAACAACAGTTCAAAAGTCTCACATTTCCTCATGAACTTTGTTCCGGAGCTTCTGTATCAAAAAGATATAAAAACCATAGCCAAAAGGTATAAAAAGAAGATGTCATAAGATCAACAAACTGCTTAGATTGGACTTTTAGTTTATTTTCAAGAGTGACTTGGAGTTACAGCAGGAATTGTTAAACTAATGTAGGTTCAGGATTCAGGTTTTCCGTTTTCTGATATTTTGTTGCAAAATCTTAAGTACGAAAACAAGTTGGCCAACATAAGGATCTTTTCAAACATTCCAAATGTAGAAATAGTAAACCAAGAAAACTGTGAATACCCCAACAATTTTTTCCCCTTTTTAGTGTAGATTCTAATTTAGCTACTAATTTACTAGTCGAGTGTTAGTTCTGTGCCAATATGCGTGCAAAAATTGTTCGTAACGATTAATTGTTAATGTTAATTCTAAGTTTTACTCTTTTAGCAGTTTTTGTTTTTCTTTCTGATTCTTAAGGTCACATTGTTTATATCACTGAAAATGTAATTAAATGTATTTTAACTTAAGGCAACGCGAAAATAAAAGAAAACTAATCAAAATGAAAAGTAAAAGAAAATGATAAGGATAAGATCATTTGATGTCACCTAAAACTTAACTATTAATATTCTGCGAATAAAGCTTTTTAAAATATCAAAAAGTTTGTCATTTCTCAATCGTGATTTATCATCTAAAGCTACGTATTAATATATATATATGTATACCGTAAGCCTATGTCCGTGTAAGTGAATTGATGCGTATGAAATCTACAACTAAATCTATGAACTCTTGTGTTCAACGTCACCTGCATGTCAACCTCAATTAGATTCCCTACTAGGTCATTCCAGCCGACATCCCACCGAGTGGCGGCTCTCCATTGTAATGCTTCACTGCAATGTCTGTGTGCGCTATAAACCGAGATGGATTGTACTAGTAATGGGTGTGTGTTAATGTGTTTGTTCTATGAAAACGAAATTCGATTCATGGTTTATGCCAGAAACCATTTCAAACAGTCGCCCGCTTCCTTGCGAAACGAAGCCTAGGTATCCGTATAAAATAACAATTAGACTATCAACTAACTAACGCACATTTCGGGAGGGTTGCGGGATTCGGGTTTTGGGAGATTACATTTACTTCTTAGAGGTAATATCAAATGCATTCGCCGGGGTTCTGGGCACAGTACTTGGGAAACAGGGCCTCAGCCCGGATGCCCAATTCAACGAGGCGATTGCGGAACAATGAGATTCTGCGGAACACATCTGGCGGCACTATATCCATATCGTGATCATCGCTGGGATCGGTCCAAAGGCGTTCGGCCAGAGCGGCAGAGCGAGGCCACAGTCGATTGTCCAGCTGGTTCTCGTCCACCTGTTCGGTCCACATGCACACCTCGCCACCCAGCACCTAAACAAAAAGGTATTCAAATTATGAGGAAAAGGTAATTTAAACCAATATTTAGGCCAACTCACCTGCTTCCTGCGCTTCTTGTCCAGTCGCATCCGCTCCCACGGTCGGTGCTTGTAGACATTCTGCCAAGTGCGGTACGGAGCACAGGCAGCATCTCCAGTTGCTCGCCAACTGCCGAAGCCGCAGTCCAGATACCACGCGTCCACGTGCGAGAAGATCACGTTGTAGCCGTTGTCCAGCAGGTCGTAGTTCTCCTGCCAGGTGCTGCCGCCCCAAACCTGAACGGCGAATTGACTGTTTGGAAGACACTTGGTGTTGGTCAGGGCGCTCGACCACACGGCCACGTACTTGGGCGCCACTCCATTGTTGGCCAGTTTTAGTCTACGGAATAAGATTTAGCCATTATTTAAATATGCAATAATGAGTGTTAGGAGTCTGCTACCAACCTGGCCATCGCCTGTAGCATAAAGTCACACCACAAGCCGCGCAGATCGGTGTCGTTGAAGTACTGCGCCCAACAGTCGAGATTCACCTCGTCGCCGCCCAGATGGAAGAGATCCGAGGGCCCCGTATGCTGGAGCAGCTCCTCGAAGAGTCGCTGCAGAATGAGGTAGGTGTGGTTGTTCTTCGGATTCAGCTGACCGCACGGCGGTTCGCCGCAGTAGAAGCTCCACGGCTGCTGGTTGATGCACATGGCCAGCTCGCCCATTCCGCGCTTCGGTCCCCAATCCCAGCCGTTGCCCGCATGGGCGGGTGCATCGATCTCGGGTATGACCTGGACACCATAGATCTTGGCGAACTCGGCCACCTCGCGCACATCCTGCTCCGTGTACGTCTCGCTCTCCGAGTAGGCTCCATGCTCGGCCAACTCGGGATAGTAACGCGAAATGTACGGGAAACTCTGGGCATCGGTGAGGTGCCAGTGGAAGCGGTTCAACTTGGCCAAACCCATGCCCATGATCGTCCGCTTGATGGACTCCACCGAGAAGAAGTGCCTCGAAGTGTCCAACATCAAGCCGCGGTATCGGAACTTGGGCGCATCCTTTACTTTGGTATTGGCATACGTATGCAGCAGGTGATCCTCGTCATCGAACCAGATGAGTTGCTGCAGCGTGGACAAGCCGTGGCGGGCACCGAAGTAGGAGTTTGCCACGATCTCCACCTGCAGGCGGTGTCCATCAGCTGCTCAAGAGGAGAAAAAGTTTATTAGTTTATTATAACTACAACAAATATTTAAATTACATACTCAGCGAACTCAGCTGGTAGGTTTCATCATTGTCCAGGCTGAAGTTGAGGTCTCCGGACTTGTGCACACTGATCTTGACCTGCACACTGGTCAGATCCCCAGCCTGCTTCACACCGAAGGTGGCTCCAAAGAGCGTGGCCGCCGGTTCCACATCCGCATGACGTCGCGCCTTCGAAGAGGTTTCGCTCACCGTGGACTCGGATGAACTGCTGGCGTAGTCCAACCGCTGGATTTGTCTCAGATCCTTGAGGAACCAATCGAAGGCCAGTTGCAGTTGCTTGCGCACCTCGCGATGTGATGTGTCCACCTGGAGCTGCACGTCCTCCACGGAGAAGCTGTGCGTCTGGGGGCTGAGCACAAATTTGTGGGTGGGATGTGGCCAAATGTTGACATCGCCGCACGTCATCGAGCAGCTGATGAAGGAGACCCGCTTGGCGGACTTGCCACTGTGGCCCACCCGCATGCATCGGTCATTCTCGCACTTGTAAGTCCAGGACTTCTCGACGGGTCTGCCAACGAAGAGTGATTAGTGATTAGTTGGATGGTCGGATGGTTCCTCAGTCTGATTGACATGCTTCACTCACATGGGAAAGGCACTAGCATCGCGGTGGCTGTGGGGGCGTTCCAACGCCTCACTGTACGCCTGGGCCTTGGTGGCTCCTTGGTTCCAGTACAGCACCGTCAGGATGAAAATGGCGCCGGAGAGCAGCACCAAAAGGGCTCTGCGCAGCGAAACAGCCAAGGACATCTTATAGAGATAACGTAGGCTGAAAAAAGAATAAGAGAGGGGAGTTTATTATGCTGTTAATACTTTAATTACACTTAACTATAAAACAATATCCTTCTAATTATAATTATAGATGCAAAATCCCATAGAAATTATATTTAAAACAGATTAGGAAGGAGGGCTCCTTCCTTAAGCCACTGTTAACCTCCTTTTTCCTGTTGAACCCCAACCCACCAGTTGACATCATCTGGGCTTTTGGCCGCTTGCCTGATGCCAAACTGGTTCAAAGAACCGAGACAGTTAAGCAATAATGCACAATGGCTGGTCGTGTGGCAAGACAATGGGCCGCAGGACCCTCCCTAAATCGCTCCCTGTCACGGGGCACAGGACACCACATCGAACTTTAATCAATGCTCGCGACTTGGGCTTGACGAGCGATAAAATCAAAGGAAACCCGAGGAGGAGCCGGGCTCTGCCACATGCCATTTAGTGGCAATTGTTTGTCCTCGGCGACCGCGATGTCCTCACGCCAATACAAACGCACACATGGCACATCCACCTTCGGCACACGCAAGGAAATTGGGTCTCCAGTGGCGCCCAACTGGCAACATAATGAAAAATCGAACACAGTCCCATATACAATCAAACATGTACAAAATACTCATGGTGTGTATATCCCATAATATACGGGGCATTTTAAATTTCTAATTTCGTTTTACAATACGAGGATAGCCTGCTTGGTTTGGGGGAACAATAAGGTTGAGGCTCTGTCGTGTCAGAATTAAAATAAAGGTTTAAAAGTCCCATCAAAACGGTAAAGCCCTCAAAGCTGGTATTACAAAATTATAAGGGTAAGATATATTTACGTAAGGTATTGAATTTGTACTTCCTTGATCTAGCAAGTAAGACCTGCGTGTCAACCCTTAACACCACGATTTTTGTCTGTCCCCCAAATCCGTATCCTATTTATAATGTAGTCTATAATGCGACGTTTTATGCTTCCTTATCGATTTCAAATCAAATTACTTAACAAATGAGTGGAGGAACCATAAACCCAAATGTGATTTGATATATTTTTTAGGGCGGGCACTTTTAAACTTTGCATAGAGGAACGAAGAACGAGGGCGAGACCTTGCCACCGATGGAGAATGGTGCCTGGTGCCGGGTATCGTCACGCTTTTACTCGCTGCCGCCGGGTGAATGATGTGGGCGGTACACACCTGTAATGTAAGGACCTGCAAGGACCTGCAACCTTTGCGTGTGACTCCAACAATCGGAGCTGGCATGGGTGAGACCTTAAAATTTTCATTACGCTTCATGTGAAAATATGAAATACTTTCGCAGGTCATGCAACACAGGTGAATTCTCCGTTCGGAGACCCTTTTTTCCCGTTGCCACTGGCAACTAGAAGGCGGAGGCGGAGGAGGAGGAGGAGGTTTAAGGTGGCAGCTTGCCAGCTGGTGCTCCAGTGCAATGGACGTGTTCTTACTTGTGGCCTGGTCCCATCATTACCTTGATGGTCGTGCATAATAAATCAACAGGCATGCATAATTAATGCTGCCAATGCTTGAAAAAAGGACGAGGAGCGGGACGAGCTGCGGTGGGGCAGCAGGAAAGGATTGCTTGAATGTGACAGCCTCATTAGTTTCCACACAGCACTCCGACGACTGTCAAAAATATGTGTACAAAGTGTGTACAAAGTGTAGCATACATTTCAGCGTTTTTGGTGGCTCGAGTTTAGATTTCAAAGAGGGTAACTCTCATTTTTTACATTGAGTTAGACACACCAAAATAATCTTGCATTTCATATAAAATAATGACATACTTTTCACTGAGTTGGAATACCACAAGATCTTGTTGATGTGATTGTTTCTATAAAAACTTGATTGGGTTAAAAGAACCTATTTTAGGCAATCCTTTCAAGTTTCACCCTCCAAGCCATATTTAGCTTGTTTCAGACTGCCGTTCTGTGATTTAGGCCATTAGTTCCCCGTTTAGTTGACTTGTCTTTAGTCGTGGTTTGATTTGGTTCCCCCGGCTTACCCGCAACGCGTGCGCAGAGCGGCGCTGAAAAGTGACCAGAAGCGGCCGAAACTATCCATCATCATTGGACCGAAAGGTGGGTGGGAGCCGCCACCGCATCCCCCTGGCGAAGCACAGTGCCCCTGCAACCGCGAGACGCTCTAATGAGTCACGTTGCCAGCTGCCAACTGTTGAGGGGCGGCGTGACACACAAAAAGGCGACTGCCTGCTGCTCCTGTTCTGGTTGTTCTGCTTGTCCTGAATTGACAAATTTCCTTTCACACAAATCTAAAATTATGCCAGAGATGGAAAACTAAAATGGTGGCAACTTTTGTGTGTCGTTCACGGCCGTCGAGCTGTAGCTGTAGCAGCAACAAAAAAACAACAACAAAAACCACGCGGACGTGCTCTTGAGCGCGCGCGACACTCGAGGCGCTGGCAACAACTACGGACCAACTATTACTATTAAGCCGCCGACGTAGCGCGGATTTCAAGACGCTCGAACGCCGACGACGCCGTCAACAAACAGTTGGCACGGCCAAAAACCCACTCGGTGGCCAAGAGAGTGGAGAGAGGCACTGAGAAAAAAAACTCCATTAGCAACGCCATCTGTAATTTGCATACGAAAAAATCAGCGGAGCTTTCCACTGAAGATTACTCTGTTATTTAAAGCAATTGTGCCTCCGTTTCTCTATGGCTTTATACACAGGAAGTATTTGGGGGTTCCTAAAATAGTTTATATATGAATTTTAAAATATATGATAAATATTAAATAGAAATATGATATGCAATAAAATATAGAAACAAAAATATTACTTCAAATAATCTGTAATGAATTCTTGTGGAATCTTATCTGTTTTTTTTCTGTGCTTAGAGAACACAGAAATAAAATAGCGGGACGGCAAAAATGGCGTGCAACTATTTACATATGTTCTTGAAACCGCCTGCGATTGTATGCACCTGGCCTGCCTATACCTATAGCTATAGTTAAAGCTATGGCAGCAGGACCAGCACACACTGCCGCCCCCGAATATTGGGCACTCTGCGAACAGAGGTGCCAGGAAAATTCCCATTTAAATGTTTGCACACAGAGAGTGCGCCATAAATTAAAAGCAAATTTGCCAAAATAATACGTGAATTTCAATTAGTTGCTAACGGCTGGCAATTATGATGGTGATTGCATACGGGTGCTATAAAACGTGGCCGATATGCAAATGTTAAACATTTCATTGGCATTTGGCGGAAATATTTCAAATTTTTTTCAACACTGTGGCAGATTTAAAAGGAGGGGATATGTTGAGGTGTAAAATAAATGGGGGACATTAAAAACAATATGGTGTGTTTGGTCAGTAATTTATTGCTATCAATAAAGCAATACTTTGCAAATTAAAAGAAGCTTTTTTTAATGAACTTTAATATACTGTTAATTTAATTGGGAATATGTGTTGCAATTTTTTAAAGAAATTTCCTTCCTAAGCATATCATATAAATGCAGCAGTTTAACACTTTTATTCTAACATAAATGGCTTGCATTCTTTGCCGCATTACGTATACGCAGCGTGTGCCGTGCAGCATGTTGCATGCTCAATATGCGCGACATGGACTGTTGCTTCTGAGTCGCATTATTATTTATGGCCGCATGCCGTGAAAAATGTCAGTTGGCGACAAGTGTTGTTCAAATGGCATGCACGGTTGCCACAACAACAACAGCAGCAACAACAATACCAAGAACGGCAGCAGCAGCAACATCACAGTAGCAACAGCAGCAATAATGACAACCCATACGGGCATACAAAAGCATTTGGCGCTCAATTTGACGTGGAACGTGCAGGAACAGAGGGAGAACTTGAGGCGACTGAAAGGGATACAAAGGGAAGCTCAATACAAATAGCCGTGCTTGGCCTTTGTCGTCGACATATCCTTTTTTCTCCCCACTGCACTACACCCCCAAAAAAAATAAGCACCAAGAGTAAAGAAAGGGAAAGCCGCAGAAAAATGGGCAACGCAACTTGTAACAGGCAACCAGCAACACAAACGAGTAGTAGCCTCAAGCAGCTGAAACACACGAAGTGCAGAGCCCAAAAACCGAAGGCGGGCTCACTCGGTTGCCAAGGCAACTTCGTCGGGCTCACAACAAAAGGATAAGCCAAGCCAAAGTCCTCGGGACAGGACGACCTGCCAGGCAGCAAACTAGTCAGCAAGTCAAGCCGGAGCTCAGTTGCAGCAGCACAACGCATTTGCCCAGACGCACAACTCGCGATTCGCGGCCAAAATCAAGAGCTACGGAAATAGACTTGCCTTGGCCATCGATCGTTGTAACAACTACACATGGGAAAAACAACATTATTATCGGGTTTTTGAAAGGATTAAAATAGAGAAAAAATTAGTATATTAAAGTTTTATAAAAGTTTTTAATTAGAAAAAGGATAGACCGAAAATAAACAAGTGCAGTGCGAGCCAAAATTAGCAAATATAAAAAGTGTTTTAATATACAAAAAAGTCAATTAGTTATTTTTAAATGGAAAAGATCACAATATCAATTATGATATCGATATCATAAAGTAAAAGAAACGCCTTAAACTGAACTTAATTTGTGGACCCGCCTATCAATTTAAAATAATTTTAAAAGGGAATTCATCAAAATTCTTACTAACAAGCATTAATACTGTGTTTCCTGCAGATGCAAAAATATATTTTATGGCATATTAAATATTTAAGTTAAATAAATCAAAGCAGACTTCAAAAAAATATTGAAAATAATTTTCGGAAAGTGTTGCTGTCAGTATTAGTAAATGGTAAACGGTGTTGCTGTCGTGCTAAAGTTTCTGCTGCCGTTGCCTTCGGGTCGTCGTTCGCGAGGGCTAACTCCTGGCAGTCGCTGTTCGTCCTTGCTGCGGTCTAGAGCCTCAGTTTTCGCTTCTAGCCAGGCTAAATGCGCCGTGCTCGTGGTTGAAGTGTGCGTGTTAATGGTAATGTAATGAGTGCGCCGTGCTAATCGTTATGCAATCGCCTCGCTTCGATTTCCAGTCGCAGTGAAATGTCTCTAAAGCGTTATGCAACTCTGCTGGCCTTCGGTCAACATCAGAGCCAGAGCCAGAATCAAAATCACACCATCTCGGCCACGACAACATCGGTGGCTCCCACAACGGACGGGATTTCATCATCCCAGCCATCATCATCGCCGTTCGGAAGCTTCAGCAGCGAGGAGCTGATGTCCCAGTCCCAGGAGCACATCTCGTCGTCATCCTCGATAGCCACACACACCACGTACTATACCGGCGGTTTGGGGCAATATCACCAGCAGCGCGGTGGCTCGGGATCTGTCATTTCTGGGGTCGGCGGCGGCGGAGGACCTGGTGGACCCCAGACGTATGCAAACGTTGTCAACGGCAATGTGAATCTGCTGCTCGGCGGGTGAGTTGTCTGACAGCTAAAACAACTGACTGATGGCAGAGCATCAGAGCCAAGTTCAAGAGGCGAGCCAAGGTGAGGCTCGTGGGAAATGCGAAAGAGTGGCACACACACATCTTGGCTGCAACTCTTGCCAAATAGCTAAGCATTCCCCCTAGTCCTTTGCCAATTAATTAATTAGAGTTGGCAAGAAAGTTTGCACAAAACAATTGGCTACGAAGCTAAATGAAAACTAATGCTTTTAAACTTATACATTTTCAAAGACCCATTCTTAACCCGTCAACTAAATATTTAACAGTGAGCTCTTGTGGATAAATTATAGAAAATGCGGTTATCATGGCTGCCACTCGTGGTAACTAATAGCTTATTCCCACAAGTTAGTTTGTCATTAAATAATTAGAGCTTACCGCAAAGTTCAACTGGGAAAGTCAATAGGTAATTTGAAAACACACGTTTCCTGGCAACCGCAAAATAAATGTTTATAGCAGGTCGTAAATTCCAGTAAAATTCTTGCAGTTCGAGTAAGTGCCCTATTTGTAGACACTTTTAGGAAGCATATTACAAGCAGCTTTCATAGATCATAATGCCTGGCACCGCTTGATTTATGGGAAGGAGCTGCAAATTAATAAGCATCAACATTTTCGGTGTCTGCAGGCGGAGACGTCAGGCTTCCGCTTTTCCGCGATGAGCAAAAATAATCATTATAATTGCGCGAAGACATTTTTCTGTTTTTCCCTCTTTCGCGTGAAAACCCAAGTATCCTTTCTTATTAAAATTTATTTTCGTATGCAACACGAGCTTTTCCCTTTTTCGGGTACCGAACTAAAACCAAAGGCATTTTGTCAACACGGTTTTATAGATTTTTTTTACGTCTGTAAACATCACCAAAACTTTTATTTTAACTACATTTTTATCGATTGTCTTGGGCAGTTCATTGAAAATAGCTGCAATAAAAAATGGTTTGGGGGACGACAACGCTTCACATGCCGCTGCTGTCTCTTTTTTGCCCCGACAGAGTGGAAAGGTTGGAAAAGTCGGCCCAGAAAGGACCCTAATGAACTGTTGACATGCGAGAAATTGCGTGAAACGGGGAAAATGAACAGCCAAAAAAAAAAAAAAATAAGGACGAGCGAGGGGGAGGAGAGAGATACAAACACTGGACAAACAGACAAGTGGAACACAATGTTGCATTCGAAAGTGGATTAACTGACGTCATTGAAATGCCTTGAGTAACGAAATCGACACGAAACGATTTCCGACTAAATAAACCAGTGGGCTTCAATAAACCGGCACAAATTGGCCGACAGCTCTAAAAGGAAAATTTGATAACTGGCAATCAAGCTGATAGTGGGGGCATTTCGGATTTATTGACAAATTTAGAGAATTGCTTTGGCTACACCTACCCAAATTTTACGATTTACCAGAGCTGAATGTCATTACCAAAATATTAAATATTAAATTCAAAATTAAATTAAGTTAATTGGAAAACTAATTTAGTGATTAACTCTACTCCGTTCCTAATTCTAAATTAGACATTAGAAGCTTAATATGCACTAATAAATATATTAATAATGTGGCACAATATTCAGACTTAGTTACTGATACCATCAGATGAGTAAAACAATTGAATTTTATAAAATTAAATTGGCAGAGCCAACAAAACACTTCAGGTTCATGGACAAATTGGCTAAGTTGATAAGGCTTTTCAAATCCACTGCACTGGAATAGCTTATGTAGTTCAAGATAATTGACAATGTTCCACAACTTGCTACCTAACAACAATAAGTTGGCTTTTGTTTGTAGGGAAAATAAATTGAGAGCCGCACCGAAAAGCATCAACTACTGCACTATCTAATTAAAAGCAAAGGCAAGAAAAGTAATTTCCGCTCCGATGTTGTATTGAAGTCAACATTTTGCAGGCAATTTATGCTATCAATATGCAAGCGGAGGACCCAAAAGGACAAAGTAAATAAACATACAATCATTTGCAATTTGTTCGACCAAATTAATAAATGCCAAAAACGTTATTAATACGATATTATCATGATGATGGCCATTTATCGAGTCGGCCGCAATCAATTTCATGTCGCCACCCAAAAGCAAACAATTCGAGAAGTACATGTGTACGAATATGTGGCCAATATCCGTGGAATAACACATTGCACTCACATTCCCATTCGATTATACTCGTTGCAGGGCGATGCTTTCCCTGGTGACAACCATATTGTGTGTGGTCTGCTATTGTTGCCATCGGAATATCAAAAAGCGAACAGAGGCCGCCTACAGACAGCAGCAGCATCAGTGGCTCGAAGGAGATCCCAACATGGAAATATACAGCGTGGAGCAGGTGAGTGGTAGTGCCCTACATTAGCAACTCAGTGCCTCCGGGTTTTAGCCGCTTTGTTGTCCGCCAGCCATAATAACAAACGGATGTCAACGGCATTCCGAATAGTCGTGTCACAATAGCCAGTGACATCTCCAATCGAGGAGCAGGCCAGGATTTAATTAATAAAATCTAGTAAAGGGACTTCAATATTAAATATAAGTAAGATTAAAGAGTACGTAAGGGTAGTTAAGTCTTTCGTATTTATTCGAAGCTTTAAATCAATTTACATTAAAATCAAATGAATGCCGTCAATCATTTATTCAATTGATTAAACGCTAAATATCAATTAGCGACTATTGAGTTTAAGTGCTGGTTGAAAAGAGTGTAAACAAATGAGGCATTTGGCAGACTACGCAACCAACTTTCCCTGCAACCCATTTAGTTTTCGATTTGAACTTCAATCAAGTCAACCTCGTTTCCCAATTAGTGGCTAAAATTACAATAATAATATCCACTGGTTTATGCCCCATTTTGGCATTTCAGCCAATTGGGGATCCAAAAACACCCTCAACAGCTAGCCGCAATTGTCCCTTTTTCAAGTTTAAGCCAACATTTCATGAGGACAGTTTGAAAGTAAGTCGGAAACCGAAAGTTAGGAAGGGCGAAAAGCAGGACGGTAATGGATATTTATGCGCCGCATTTAACAGGTGCGACAACGACGACGAGAAAGCGAGTTGACCAAAGGGGCGCGACAATTGTGGTCTCGCCACAGCCATTGCAAGTGGCCCACAAGCCGCACTCACTTGGCCGTGGGCTTTATTAAGTTACAAGCCGCCGGCAGCGAACAAAAAACCTCCCAATTCTGCCGACCAAGAGACGCCACCCACCCACCAAACACCCAACCACCCAACCCCATAGGCCATCACTCAGTTCATTGTTGTTTGTTGGCCCGCTGGGAAACGAGGGAAAAAGCGCCGGCAAAAGGCTCCGCGTAAATCAACGTTAGCCTGTCCAGGCGCAAATGTCAACTGCGGACAGAACGAGGCGGGATTCTTGAGGGGACAGGGCAGCAGATTGCGCTGCAGAGACAAATAAATTTATGATGTGTGCAATTTAAACTTTTTTATTTGATCGCGTAAATTTCACTTGTCCACCTCGTCTCCATTTAGGAGGTAAATTACAAGGCGGCCAAGCGGAGATCAGCAATTACTCACGCCGCTGTGGAATGTTAGAAGCTTTATTTAAAGGGGAAAATAGGGACCTTAACCATGGGTTTTCATAACATTTTTTTACCTTTTTCTAATTTATTTATAACTTTATCCTATCCTTTTAGTGCTACGAGACATCTGGTTTGTTTTTGGGCGATTCCACCGATGGCCTTTCTGCCGTTCCTGCTCTCCACCACGAGCCACCTCCTTCGTATGATGCGGTGGTGCTCCACGAACAGCAACTCCACCAGCAACAATTGGAGCAACAGCAGCAGCAACAGTTGCAGCTGCAACTGCAGCAGCAGCAGCAACTCCTGATGCAACGTGTCTCGCCGCCGCCAGGATATCGATCCTCGTTGGATCTCAGTGGGCAGCAGGGGACGAGCTTCGGTCGCGGAACACCCGATGGCAGTGTGGATGCCGTGGCCAGTGGCAGTGCATCCGGGCCAAATGGCAGAGTGCTGGTTAACAAGCAGTTGCAACTGGCTCTAAACGCCCAATCCTGCTGCTCATTGCAGCGGGCCGAGGTGGAGAGCATGTGGAATGCCGCGGCGGCGGCGGTTGCTGCCCGGAGCGGAAATTGCCTGGAAATGGAGACGCTGCAGGTGCGCAAGCCGCCAGCCCAGAATATCAGATTGAACACCTTCGGTCGGCGGTATCTGCAGCAGAGCCATCAGCACGGCGGCAATCACTATCGACGGGGCTGTCCGCTCTGCGGCAAATTCCGCTATGAAGGCGAGGCGGAAGATGAGCCGCTGACCGCTCTGTCCGTTGAGAGCGGTCTTAATATGGGCGGACAACGGGAGGAGGAGGAGGAGCCGACCTTGTGCCCCTGTCCCAGCGACTTGGATAATGGTAACCACGTTTCTGTCGACGCTCTGCAGGATGAGGCCAACGGGAATGTTGAGGCCACTGCTATAAATGAACCACCCATACCCACAACCGCTGTCAACGATGAAAATGACAACGCAGCAACACCAGACACCCCAGCAACCTTAAACACACCAGCAACATCCCACACACCAGCAACAACCAGCAATAGCAGAGAGCTGGCCGAGGAACAGGAGCAGGCCACTGGTCAACAGGACGAACAGGATTTGAACAATATTAACGAGAATGGAATCATCAGCCTGGACATGAGCAAAATCATTGACAGATCGGGTTTGCCCACATACGAGGGAGCCATTAAACTGGAGTCCAGTGGCTATGTGTGAGCCTAACCCAATGAAGAATTTACATTAGTTATAAAGCTGTAAACCAAAACAGAAACCACAAGTGTGCTTTAACTATGATTAAGATGCGTTGCGATTAGAGGAAAGTGTTTTAAAAGAGATTTATTTTCTATTCTTAAACCGGTTGGGTTTTGAGAACTCAACGTTTTTAAGTGTCTCTCAACCAATTATAATGATTGCTGCGATCTTACTTGCGAATAACACATTTTAATTGGACGGAAATAATATTAATTTCGACGAGAACTGTGAGTTAATGAGGCACATATAAGCTGGCTTTCCTCTTGGTAAGAAGGAACGATTGAAGCAAAAACGAAAACAATAATTTTAACGTTAAATGTTTAGAGCTAAGCCCGTGCATATCCCTGTAAATGTTCGTTTCGAATACTCGTATCAATAAAATCAAAAGTTGTAATTGAAAGCAACAAGCGTTTCAATAAGCAGCCTTAATCTGCAACCTTCGCCTTATTACACACGAGCACAGTTTTTAGTTTATAATGCTTCGTCGAACGCAATCCGATTGATTTTGTATTAAATACGGGGCGAGGAGCGTAAGAAACGATAAAAACGAAACCAGAGCAAAGAATGGCATGCAAACAAATCGTCAAAGACAGCGGCTAACAAGGGGCGAGATAACAGCCAACACCACCCACTCACCCACCAGCCCACCAGCTACCCGTTCGGCCCGTTTTTCCCACCCTCTGTCGATTTTCCGTTTTCCTTTTTCACCGCACTTACCTCAGACAGACAACGGGTTTGTGTCTCTGTCTTTTCGTCTGGATCATTTGCATAAGGGGAGCGAGGGTAACCGAAAGGGGAAATGTGTCACCAGGTCGGCTACGTGATGCTCTAACTTGTAATAGTTAGTTATCATTGTTTATTTCGATGTTTACATTTATTGAAAACTTAGCTCCGATTTCGCTGCGCATTTTAAACTTTTAGAATTTAAAGCGAAATATGAAGTAGAAGAAAGCAATCCACACCTTTACAATTTGGACTTGATAAAATTGTTGCTGTATTTCAAGAGTAAGATATAAAGGAAGCCAAACTTTTTTGTTACACACATTACATTTAAATTTACATTTACACTTTAAAACAAAACAATTAAAATTAAAATAACCAGATAAAACTAAAATGAATAAAAGGCAGAAATAAATATTAAGTATACGTATTATAAAAATTATGCACACGCACAGTTTGCCCATTCGGAATAACTTTAAGGCCATCTAAAGACAACTAAAATTACCAGGTACACCCATCTAGAAGCGCGCCTAATTTAGCACAGCTTTACAGAACATCAAGCACACGCACCGCACGCCCACTTGGAATAACTTCATTCAAATTCAAGTATTACAAGGGTATTCTAGAAAACAAATTGCGGGTTCTGTTTTTGTGTGTGGTCAAGCGATGACAAAACGAACTCTTATTCCTCTCAACTACCTTTCTTTTGCCCTCGTGCCACATTGAAATGGTAACAAGAAACTTGTTAGTGGCTCTCATCATTGTGCACAATTTCATTTGACATCAGGTGCAGGGGTAAAAAGCTCTCGGCGTTTATGCAACCTTGAATCGCTTAAGCGGGTGGATGGTTGGGGGGTATGTAATTATGCATGAATCGACGGCAAAGCCTGGGTTACACTTGAGATCACATTAAAGCCATTTCAATCTTAATCAAACAACTTAACGTTTCGTTTATTATTTTAAAGTAAGCACAGCCTCTACTTCACAGGCTGTACGATTTCGTTTAGCACTCGTACCGTCGTGTCAGCAGCATTTTAATCGTTTCCGTTGAACTTTTCACGTGAGCACCGGCAATAAATACAAGGAATTTAATTTTGGTTTATTTATGGCCATGCCAGCGAGATTTCTGGGCGGCGTATTAGCACAATTTCGATGCTCCGGCCAAGAGGAGCGCGCTTTGTTGATAATTGCAAACTGAAAGCGATGCGTCTGCCGCTGACGGCGGCACAACAAGTCGCAGTCGCTGCTGCCGCTGCCGAGTGGCAACCACAGCTGAGTGGGTCGGAAAAATGGGTGGGAAAACGGGTGGGAAAATGGGCGAGAAAAGGGTGGGAAAATGATAGAAAGAGAGCGCCAGACGCCAGCTAATGTGCATGTGTGCAGGGCAAACAAAATAGAGCGAACGAGAGCTGAAAATGAAACTGAACCGAGCTGAACCCATGGTTGAAATGGGCGGGATTGGGTGGTATTGGCTTTTTTTTTGTTTAGGTGGCATCACAAACTGCGCAGCACCGCTTGACCCTATCCCTTGCCATCGTCCCCCGTTCGATTTATTAATAACACCAGAAGAGGCACACGAGGGCCGAACCGAATGGGCAAATTGTGGGTTCGATGGCATGGGTTGTGAGGTGTGAGTACAAGCACTTTGCCAGCAGCCTCTCGTATTTATAATTGCTGCAAATTGCCGCTTAAAAACTTGTGTTCCTGCCGGGGCATCGGGCCAAACTACTCGAGCCACTTACGACGATGTCATCATCATCATCATCGTCGTCAGCATCGCTGGGAGTGCCAGGCACGTGCTTAAAAATAGACTCCATTGGGCCACTAAATATAAACCATTTGGCATTTGGTATGACCTAAAAATTCGGATCGAAATGCTAAAAACAGATGACAAAATCCTAAATGCTCTTATTTAAATAAACAAAAGCTTGATAAAATATATGTTATAAGAAAAATCAAACATCTAATTCAAGGAATAAAAACGATACGAAGTGTCGGATTTGAAGTCTTTGTGACTGCACAAAAAGAAATATGAGTGCTTCTCTGTAGAATTCTAATCTTAAAAAAATAAGCACATAAAATCATTTCAGTATAGCATTTCAGTATACTATATATAGCAAATAAAATACGACCGATAATCAGCAGTGACTATCATAAAAGAAAAATTGTGTGAAAATATTGATGCTAAATATACAAGAATTTCTTTGGGATTTATTAAGATATTTTTCTCCCAAAAATGAAACCGGATGGTTATTTCAACGAACATTATCTTTCTTCAAGCAGAACAGCGATCATTTAAATAAATTATCGCCGCTTAGCTGATAAGACAAACTTAAGTAGCAAGTACAGCCCCAAGTCGAGCTGCTCAGTATCACTTCCGTTGAACAGATCGCCAGTTTCATGCTTTTCAGGGTATTATAAGCCGTGGCAAATATGCAGAAGATTACGTTAGCAACAAATACAGCAAGTCATGAGGCAAGTGGGCCAAGCCACAAAGGAGAGCAGAAAACCGAAAGTAAAAGTGCAAACACCAAATAGCCAAAAAATATGGCAGTACACGTACGGGCGCACTTGCAAAATCACAGAGGCATGAACTGGATTTTATGAAAAGGGATTGGTTGAATAAAAACTTACATATATGGTTTAAAATGTTCTGCAATGCAGGTAAGTTTTCATAGAATTGGGGGTTTCATTTAAAACGGTAAAATGACACCAAAAAAAGTGTAAGCAAAGCCTTGTAAAAACTTAATATTTTAATTGAAAACTTTTTTTTAATCGAGACATGAGCAAATATCGGCTGTAAATGTTCACTGAATCAGGTAAGTCCCGGCATTCCTTCGAGGTTAGTTTGAAATATATTTTTTTTGGGGAGCGTTGAACCCCCGACTCCCGTTTGTACGCCTTTGCTTAAGAGCTATCACACACGCATAAATACTGCGGACAAATTTACGTAGGCTTGTAGACTTACCCACACTGCGTATGGGAATGCTCTTTGCATGTCCTTATTTCCTCCGTTGCCAGGACGACTTTAGATGGTGGAGAAGTCGGGGTGCGGGGTACCTATTTATATGCCTTCGATCCTAGGGTGTTGCTGGTGCAGAAAGATAAGCGTGCGTCTTGCAGGTGTGGCCTTTTAAAATAGCAGTCTATGTTTCCTATTGCTTTTGCGTCTTTGTGCGGCGGCAGGCGTTACATTTGAATTCTTTGCTTAAATCGACATATTTGTGCTGTAATTCACAAAGTGCACACGACGACAGTACAGTGAGTGCGAGCGAGAAGGCGAACGGGTGCGGAAAATCGGTCTGCACTTGAATAAACTTGTATTGCATCGAGCGTTCTGGGTACAGGTTGTCACCCGCCAGACATTCGGAGAGTAATTAAACAATTTCACTTCCCGTTGCTGCCATTGGCGTCGTTAATAATTGTGCGGTACAAACATTTATTGCAAAAAAACAAAAAACAAAATCGGCGACTGACTGTGTGGGGAAAACGATGAAATACCGCTGGCGAGGCTCCAAAAATACCAGAAATTAAAAAATACCAAAGAAGGTGACGTCATAAAAATGTTTCAAATTTTTAGATTCGTTACTATGAAATTATTCGAGTAAACCATAAATTATTAAATAAATAGAATTATTTTCTAACCACTCGCATTTTTTGATATAGAGAAAAACCCAACCGTTTATTTGGCAACAACTGAGGTGCTGGTGTATTGTAAATGCACAGTTTTTTGGTTTATTTGAATACCATAAGTATACACAATCGTTAATAGTTTCAAAATATCAAACCCAAGTTCTTGAAGCTTGTGTATGCGTTGAAAACTGGGCCGATTTGACGTGAATTGACTTCGTGGATATCCGCATTTGACTGGGCGATTGCGTGAAATTGATCTAATGTTTTGTACATTTAGTTAGTAACCTACTTCGTAAACATAATAACATTGGCCTAAGCACAAGGTTTTTGGCTCTAGCACGCGCAGAATCTGCAGTTCGATCAAGTTACTAAAATATATAAATATATGTATATACACTTGGTGTCGGGGTATAGTGCATGGTAAATTGAAGCCTAGTCGCCCATGTACACGTACTCCTCATCCTGGGCGCTATCATTTTGGCGAACAGCCATGGCAGTTTCCACTAGATAATAGAGACACTTGTACTTGTCGCGCTCATCTCGACTGATACCTGAAGGAGATACTATACTGATTAGGATCCGAGAGATAAATACAAAAAGCATACTTTGTGGTGGAGTCGTTGGCTGATTCTGGGCAGATTCCATGTCGGTGATGGTGAATGTTTCATCCGCCTGCAGATTATCACCGATTTCCTGTTGATTGGAGCCAGCAAGAACAGGGGTCTCGAATTCAGTAGCCTGCATCAGCTCATTATTGGAGCCTTGAAGATTTAAAGAAAAGTTTTAAAAGGAGAACACAAATCTGGCTGTTTAACCAACCATCACTCTTTGTTATCTGTTGGTTGGGATTATAACGGGTTGCATTCCTGGCCTTTCCCTTGTTGCCAGAGGTACTTGGGTTGTTCCCAGCCGATGTAGTAACTTCTTCGGTACTGAAAACAGTCCTGCAAAAGGAAATCTGAAATTGAAGAAGCTTCAAGCACAGAATCAGAAACCGTTACTCACTTCATCACGCTTTGCCAATCATCAGAGGTCTCGAAGCGAACCTCCTCCTCGCTGTTTTGCTCACAGGACTCGTATCCTTGGGCGCTCTCCTCACCCTCGGACCTGGGAATAAAAACCAGACTCTTAGCACCGAGGGTATTACTTGAACTTGGGCTTAGAATAAATTCAGTGGAAGCGGCAATTGTACCTAGGAGCCACCTCGAAGCCGCCGAAATCATCTTGATAACAGGACATGGTCTCGTGCTGCTGGTTTCCGGACTTAGTCTTTGGCTGCTTGCTCTTTTCACCGGCACTCTTTCCAGTAGCTTGCCGTTTCCTTCCGCGCTTGGGAGGACTTGGTTTTTCTTCTTCATCAAACTCCTGTGGCAATTTTTGGTCCAATAAGTTGAACGGCAGTATGGAACTGGTGCACCCAGCACTGCTGGATCTGGCCGATCCACCGGTGGCTGCCGCTTTACGCATCTGATAGTTTCGAATCTTATCGATCATAGTTGCTTGCAGCGAGGAGTGCAGACTTTGGAAACCCATCGGATTGTTGGCAATGGCCTGCTGCCAACTTGGGGAAGGAGGATTGGGGTAGGTGGGAAAGGAAAATGACTAACACTAAAGGGGCAACGCTATACCTGTAGATTACGCTGTCTTCGTACTCTGGCTCCATCTTAACGATCTGTCCATTAGGACCTTGCACATACTGCTCAAAGTTGGTCAAGACATTGGCAATACCCTCGTGGATCTCACCTGCGCCATCGACTTCCTCAGTGGCGCCAACGACCTGGAAATGAAAATTTAATCAACAATACCTCCCGAAACTTAAGACAAGATAAAGCACAACTTACCACTTCAGAGGCGGGACTTCCGTGGATGGGATTGGGTGTTCCTTGAAGGTTCATGCCCAGAGCACTCGGTCCTGAGGAGTTCGGGCTGACTTTCTTGCCTCGCCGTGAGATGGTAAAGTGAAGGGGATCGTTACCCTCGCGCCGTATCATCTCGGGAAGAATCCGGCGACGGGCATTGATGAACCAATTGCACACCTGCAGCACCGTCAAGTTTGCTTCCTGGGAGAGGGTAAACTTCTCCGCATCGCTGGGATATGCGTTGTACCGATGCTCGTAGAGCCAACGCTTTAGGATCTTCACCGAGTGCTTCGGCAGATTTCCACGGCGCTTGCGCAGCGATTCATTGATGTCGATGGTGTGCTCAGTGTCTACCATCATATCGTGGTAGTTTTGCACCTCGCTGCCATCTACACCACCCTGTTCGTGGGTGAGGTCCTCTTCCACGATGCCATCGGCGGAAAGGGTGTCTATGACGGCCATCGAGTCGACAGCGTGAAGCGAGTCGTGGTCGAGACTGGAATCCGATGAAAAACGTTCGCGAACTGCAGCTGGTATCAGGAAGGAGTTAGCGAAGAGTCACTCCCCAAAAGCGCCAACTCACCTTCGTTTTCCAGCATACTCGCCTGAACATGCGCTTCGTGCATCATGTCCTGGATATCCTGGCGCACCTGGCGATCCAGGACCATGTTGACTTCTTCTTGTTCCGGCGAGATCATTTTGCAGCTCAAGCCTAAAAGCGTATTAAACAACTTTTAAAATGATACCGGAAAATGATTAAATTTGCTGATTTACGAAAAATATTTCCGATTCGATAAAAAAATTGTACTTTTTAGAAACTGTTTGGGATGAAAAACTTGCGTGTTACACCACGGGTTTTGAGATTAAACTAAATTTTCCGGAAGGCAGGCAAATCATTCCGACACCAAAGTCATGGCCAACTAAGGCTCCAAAAGAAGTTTAAATTTCGATACGAAATTTTTAGTATCCTGTTTGGCCTACCTTGACGCATTATTGAAGTCAACATTTTTAAACACGTTATGAAAAAAAAGCTCTAATACTTCAGAATTAAATAAATAAATATTAATAAAAATTTAAATTATAAAGAGGTTGAGGCTGTATCGATAACTATCGCACGAGTATCGCCTTCGGACACGAAAGACCATGACATATAACATGTCAGATTGACACTTTAGCCGAAATATTTTGACAAATTCGCTGCGCGCGTAAATAACGGGCGTCTTCAGCACCCGGGGATTCACCTGCAGTATCCGAATAATTGCCCCTAACATTAAATTGCACTTATCAATTGATTTTTGAGAGTTAGAGCCCTTGGCACCCTGATCCAGAATAGGGATTAGGATGTTGGCGACGGGGCCAGGCGTTTAGGTCCACCGTATTGTATGCATTTTAAGGATAACTTTTCGCGAAATAGGTGGACCAGAAACAACCGAATCACAGGCGATTTTCACACTATTTTCCAAAATTTTTCTTCGTTTTTCCTCCGCTCGCCAAATAACAACAATACTAGTGAGAGTAATTGTTCGATAACTGCTCAAAGTCGATACCTTTTAGTGGGAGCCCAATACGCTAAGAGTCGTGGATCTGGATCGCAGTTTAAATTTAAATACTGGCGCGTTAAGGCACGCAAAACCATTTTGGAGAACATACAAAAAGATTTACAACTCGTTGTGTTGCATAGCTCCACCATAAATAATCAATTATCAAACTTTCAACCTGAAACACCAACATAGTTCTTGATTCTAAATATTCAACTGCCACAATAAAATTGGGAAAATGAGAGGATCGTTGTTATATAAATTATTAGATATATAATAATAGAAGTAAGAACTATCTGGTTTTGTAAAATTTTTAGGTAAAGGAGGTTGTCAGCTTTGAAGATAATAATTTATATGATTTCGGTTAGTTGGTTTAATTCCAATGCCCACCTGCGGTCACACCAATAATTTGTAAACAAACAAAAATGGAATGCGTTTTGGACGAAGAGTTACTGGCCAACATAAAATGCAGTGACCAGGAAGATGGAGACGAAGAGGACGAAAAGATGCAGTTGGAGGAGCAGGTGCCGCCTCCCGAATCTGTTGACCAGGATGCCTCCTTCAATGGGGAGGACTCCGATCCGCTTCAGGAAACAGCAGCCCCCTGCAATTTTTGCTGGGTTTTCGAGGACAGCGATGTGCTGATTACTGAGGACCAACTGGCGGACATGGTGCTGAAAAAGGAGGACTCCTTCCGCCCTGCCGCACCAAAGCGAGGCCGTGGTCGTCCAGCCAGCATCCCCGGAAACTATATATCCTCCCGTGGTCAAGTATGGAGCGTTACGAAGGATGCCCAGGTGTTCGGAGAGGACCTTCCACTGCTGGGACAGCAGGCAAGTGGCAAGGGTCCCGCCCGCACGGTTTCCAATGCCGTGGAGGCATGGATGCTACTATTCGACGATGATATGCTGCGATCTTTGCTCCGCCATGCCAACGAACAAATACGGAAGAGGAGGACTCCCACAAGTGTCCATCGACCCCTAGACGTTGTGGAGTTGCGAGCATTCCTTGGCCTAAGCTACCTCTGCGGGGTATTCCGCAATGCCCGTTATAGTGGGCCTTTGGAGGAGCTTTGGACCATGGAACTGGGAAATGCTATATTCCGGGCATCCATGACACTCACTCGATTTGAGACCATTTCCCAGTGTTTGGCGGGAAATTGCGGCTGGGCCGAGGGTCAAAAACTGTGGCAGCGGTTGCTCATCAATTGTCGATCCTACTACGGCTGCAGCAGTTGGTTGGCCGTGGAAGAGACCTCTTGCTCGGTGGCCAAGTCACGCATGACCCTCTGTTGCGATGCCAGAACACTGTTCATGGCCAACGCCGTGGTGAGCAGGAGCCAGAGATGTCCGGAAAAGGATGTTGAGCAACTGATATGTGATTTTAAAACCACCGGAAGAAATGTGACGTTGGGAGCACGGTACCTAAATTTAACGCAAAGCGAAAAGCTGAGGCAGCGACAAATAAGCTCTCTGGGATTACTCGACTCCACTTCTCCAGATTGGCCTCGACAGTGGCCATCGGATTCCACCTTATATAGTGGCGCCTCCAAGATTGTCCCCTACGACGGCGAAGCGATTTTCTGCTGCGGTCTCAGCTCTCAAGTGGATGTACTCCAGGCCTTTCAGCAAACCTCAAATGCTTGCCAACAATTCCATGAACTTTCGCAACGCTTTAGCACTGCCCACGCCACGCCCGCATCTCTAAGGGAGCAAGCTAATCCCTTCCTGGAACTACTCCATTTTATACTCAATGCGGCGGCTGTAAATGCTTGGATTCTCTTTCAACTTTCTTCCAAAGGCGACCCGGAAATGGAGCAGCGTGACTTCCAGAGGCAGTTGGGTCTATTCCTTACACAGCAGCGATTACAGCGACAGCTTCAGCGAAAATCTACCAGCACTTCGCTCGTGATGCGACTGCAGATTTGCGAGATTCTGGGTCAATCCAGCCAGCGACTGCTCAGTGAGGCGACCGGCGAGGCCCAGTTAAACCATAGTGTGGGTGTCCTAACGCCAGACAAGATGAGCCTACCCGTAGGCGTTAACCTGGCCAGTCGCTATGGAGAGAAGCATCGCCGGTGCAAACCGTGTACTCGGAATAAACGCGGTACGAAATCCCGAACGAGATGCCAACAGTGCCTTCAACATCGATGCGGCAACCACCTTATTTCCCGCTGCTACGAATGCGTGGGCATTCTTCCAGGCCAACTACCCGAGGGCAACATGCGCGACGAAGACGGCAGTTAAATACGGATATTAAATAACATTTAATCAAGAGACGCTACTTTCTTTGGGGAGGCGTAAATGGGGATGGCTTGCCATATTGCTCAATGGTGCAAACACGTTCTTGTGCTAAAACTACGATGACAACGGCTTAAGGTTCGGAACATTCAACTAGAACTTGTACTGGAAGGACTTGGGCGCCTTGTACTTGCTGGCCGCTCCTGCGGAGTCCAGCGGATCGCTCTGGTCGAGGAACAAGCTGAGGAACTGTTCGTTCTGCAGCTCGTTCAACGGCATCTCCAACTCACTACAGGATTTCACTATTTCAGCGCAGGCACGCAGATCCTTGCGCATGTCTGTAAAACGAATATGAAGTTACTCAGTCCCTAGTTAGGATTTCAGAACTCACATTGATAGTTAAAGAGCAGGCTGAGGCAACTTGAGCAGGCCGACCGCTGCTGGTGCTGCAAAAATACCTCGATAAGACGATGCACGGCATCTACATTGTTGCGACCCAGGAATGAGGAGCACAGGGGACCGGCTCTAGAAAAAAGTGTATTAAGATCTCCGCTTTTTTTTAGGAACTTAATTATCTAACCTCCGCTCCACCAGTTCTTGCAGCTCCTTGTAGTGCTCGAAAAGTTCCCCAGCTGATTTTTGGTCGCAAAACCAATCGCTTGCAAAACACTGCTTCCACACACAGGCAACCACGAAGATGTCCTTATGCTCGCGGTGGATGGCTCGAGCCACCTCCAGAAGTGAGACCAGCACGGCCTCACTCTTCTGGGCCAGCGTCTCCTCAGAAATGGTACGGAAAGCCGTGCGCGCCATCCTCCTGCCCTCCTCCGAAGTCATGCTGATCCCGTAACCACGATGCAACGTCATCAGAGCCACGTCTGCGTTTCCGTTGTTCCAGAGGGCTATGGCCCGAAAGGGAGCCAGGTCAGCGTAGGTCTGCGAAAAGGGATGCTCCAGCTGCCGGCAGGTATCTGCCAGAGCCTCCAGCTGATGAAGCTTTCGCTGGGCAGTCAGATACTTTAGACAGGAGACGAACACCTCATTGGAGGGCAACAGATTGAAGCGGATGCACTGACGGATCAGGTAGAGGAAGTCCAGCTTGTTCTTCACTTCCAGCGTGGCCATCAGCAGGTTGTCCAGCTGCGCCTGGGAGAGAGATCGAATGTCTAGTCCCAATTGCGGGGAACGCAGCGCCTTGATATCGCTCATTACGCCTTTGGACATTAGGCCCACGTTCTGGGTAAAACTAGTGGAGGTACTGGCTGAGGTTTTTTCGCCAGCCGTGGCCACATTGCTGTTGGCATCCGTCTCCTGAATTCCCGGTGGTTGTTTCTTCATCAGGCTGTCGCGCAGCTCCTCCCACTTCTGGGTTTTCCGGGTCACCAGATCGTTGGTGAAGCAATCGATGGCGTCCAGCTGCGTGGACTTCCGTCTCTGCCTCTGAGCACCCGGAAACAAGAAGGCGGCGATGTAGTTCTGGAACCGCTGCAGACCCTTTGGGGATCCAGGTGCTCCGGCCACCGTCGTGGTGCCGCTGCTGGTTAAGCGGGTCAACATGGCCATTGCCTGGGGGTCACCTCCGCGTCTGCTGCTGCTCTAGACACACCTCCTTCGCCGCGCGTTTGTTTGGGGTTGTATAATTGTGTACTTTTCGTTATTCTTGGTTGTTGCGATAGTGTGACCGTCGCAGGTCTGTAAAAAATAACCATGCGCTCGTTGTAAATAAATAACGGTGGAAAGTTATTTCTTTGGAGGCGAATAGACAAGAAATCTGGATAAGTTGGTCCAGAATTTTAATTGAGTCAATAAATGTTTTGAACAACTAAAAAATAAATGACCAGATAACCATATTTTACTTTTTAAAAGCCCTCAATTAAGAACACCAAAAGCCTTCGAAAAGATTGCGATTTATTGACGTATAAAACTCGCTGTCTTTATCTTAAATCGTTAAATCATAGAGTTCTTAAGCTAAATTTATAGATCGGAAATCGCCTAGGACAGTATCAGCATACCAATCGGTAGGAGATGTACCGACCGGCCGTCTCCGAGGATCGGATGATTTTGACCACCTGGCCGCGCTTGAGTCCAAAGTACCTTGCCACCGGGTCACCCGCCTGGATCCTCATCAACATGTTCTCCTTCAACTTGTATCGGCTGAGCAGCTCCTGTTTCTCCTCGACGGTCATGACCACGTGCTCAGGAACCAATTCATGCTCCGTGATGTTGATCAGCAGCTCGGATTCGAGGAACTGCTCTAGAATATACTTGGGAGCCATGTCCACGAGGGATTGCTTGGCGGATGGAGTCATGCCGCCCTGAACCACAACGATGGCTCGGTGGATGTTCTCCTCCTGCATACGGGTACAGTAGGTCTTGATGGTCTTGATTCCGATCTTAGGCTCCTCCGGGAAGAAGACGAACATCTGGTCGGTGGGATCGTCGTTGTGGGCCACCAAGACGATCAAGTCGGAACGAGCCGGTCGCTTTTCACTGGGCTTGTCGCCGAACATCTCCTTGAATTGTTCCAAAGTCTGGTCCAACTCATCCTGGGTCACCAGATAACCGCGGTCGTGGCTAAGCTGCATGATGGTCTTGCGAATGCGCCATAGCTTGTAGGTCTCCGCTTCGTCGTCCATGATTTATTTAGCAAAATTAAGAAAATTCTCGAGTTCCAAATTATAAACAGAACACGCGGTGTGACCAAAAATCGATAGGTATTCGATAGCACCGATGTTCGATAGAAAAAACCGGGTGTTTTACAACTCTATTTCGGGGTGCGACTCCGCTAATGTTTACTATCTCATGTTTAGCATATAGTCGAACCCAATGAAAAAACCGTTATGGCTAAGAATTTTATTGGTAATATTAAAAAATAGTTCTTAATCTATTTGTAACTCTAGTTGAAAAATGCTTGGATACGGATAATAGGTAGTAAAATTATAATGCCGAAAATTGAGATACAGAAGATAGAAATCTGCCGGCTGGTAGAAAAATTCAAACTTGGTTAACAAGAAGCCCGCTTGGTTTGTATTCAAATTCTGTGTGGTTTCTTGATTCTTCCTTTTCCTGGTTTTCTGTTTTTTCTGCCACTCATTGTCAATAAGTTTAATATGTGGCCCCAGCTCACGTTGTGTGACCCCGAAATGAACCCAACTCGCTTTCCCGGCAATATTTTACGTGCAACATTCAATTACGGCGCAGACGGGCAAATAATATGCTGCGGTGGCATGGCCGCTATTCTTATCCTTTGTCTGCGTGCCGCTCACTAAAAATGCCGTTAATATTTCCCATCCCATTGCCAACTTCCCACTCACAAGTGCAATTATTTGGAACATCATCGGGTATGACTTTCGCATCCGCACGTCGACGACGCACCAACGTCAATGACTGACAGTTTATTTAATAGAAATTTCGCGATGTGTGTGGAGTGCTGTTTTGCGTTTGTTTTCCAAATAGTTTTTCCTCGACGGCCTCCTGCACCCGCAAACAGCATTGACAAATTGTGTGGAAAATATGCATAATAAATGAAGCCACGCGCTTTCAACTTGTGAAGTTATTAAAAGCGGAGAGCGTGTGAATTCCTTTTTGGGGAAGGACTGTAAATGGTGAAGATAAAATTTAAGAAATTTCGTTTTCTTCTTTAAACGAATAATAGGGGTTCCTCTCTCTGCAATTATATTCTCTAAATAAAAATAAATTGATTCATGTTGCTTTTAACGTATCAAAGGATTGTTTGTTTAAAAATCCGTACTTTCTGAATATTTAAAAATATACTAAGCCCCACCACCAAATGTTTTTCTCTGCAAATGCATTCTTAGCCTTATTGAGAATTTATTGGTTTCTGTTGCTCATCCCCAGTGCGATGATATTGAAATTTCAAGCTGCCCATCGCTCCATATGGCCAGACCACATTAAAACCGAGCAAAGTGCAGGCTACGCATAGCAAAAACAAAGTTCACAAAGCAACCGAGGGGCAAGAAAAAAGTTAAAAAAGCCCGAGAATAAAGGGAATCTAATAAAAATCCAGTTTGTGCAAGTATGAAAAATGAACGATGAATTGCATTATAAATGCAAAAATATTGTAGGAAGCACGACACTACCACCGCTGGACAAGCGCGTCAGAAAATCTGATCAAAATTATTGAGGCGCACGGAATGGGGAAGTCCTCGATAGGCGAAAGGGGCGGTGGAGCAGGCGGGGGGCGTGGCTTTCACTGCAGCGGAACGTGGCGCACTTTCAAAGTTTTTGCGGCGTCGCTAAGCTGTTGATAACGCCGATGATGACGACGCGATAAGCGCGGCGATAATGTTTTCGGATGCCTCGCCCACAAGACAGGTGAGTTAGGAATGCAGTGTTGGCAAATTTCCAGGGAGTTTTATTCAGGTACTTGGCTGGGTACCTAAAATTAACAAAGTACAATTATTGTTCCAATTAGCATGCCTTTTATTGTGATGTATATTGTAAGGATTCTTTTCAATCTTATAAGGTTCCCCTTTTTATAGAATTTCTGTAAATTAAATTACCCTTTGGGTAATAAAACTACTGTAATACTTGTTGTTTATTAACTTAACAACATGCTAATATTGTACCTATCCCAACTCTAAGGTTAAGTCTAGTGAGCTGCAATTGGCAAGGACAAAAGCCAGCACATCCTTGTGGTCGTGGTCGTGGTCGTGGCTTGTCGTACTGTGCGTGCGCTGCATTGAGAAATTTGCGCGAAATGGCATTTATTTTCGGTTTAGCTGATGATGAGCCACGGATAATGGCGCGGGGGATAAAATCAGCAGGCAGCCAGGCAGACGAGCAGCGCCGGGAATTTATAATTATTTGCCAGATGACTTTCTGATATATGTATAGTAACCCCCATCAAGTCTGGCCATTGACATTGAGCCAAGCAGATTAGGAAAGCTCTTCATTAATTAAAACATTATGATATGATCTAAGCTCATTATATGTTGTTCAATATTTTAGTTTTATTGTATAACAATTAAAAATTCTTCCAGTGTATTCATGAGTTAATTTTTACAACCGACAACAACAGCAATTCTCAGAGCCACTTCGGATCCCCAGTGTCCTGGTTTTGCTTTTGTGCATAAATATTGTGAAAAATGGAGTTTGGTTCAGGTTAGGGTTTTATCCGGGAGCTGCAATCTATCGCTGGCAGGCGGCGGCAATCACGGCGACCCCCTTTTATCGCACCCCCCTGACCGACGCCAATGCCATGCAATTATTTGTATAGGAATTTAAATTGAATGTCAGTCTGTTTGTTTCCATAACATACACACTGGCAGTCGCACTCGTACTCGCACTCGCACATTGCTGACAGTTTAAGGAACATGTGGAGGGAGCCAGGACGAAAAGGAAGAACAAGGACGAAAAGGAGGAGGAGGTGGAACAGGACAACCAGGACATTGTCGCACATAAGCAGTTCTTTGGTTCCTTCGATGCTGCCGCTCGGTTCCTTGTCTGCTGTAAAATTCCAAATTTGTTTTATTTGATTTCTGCGCTGCGCTGCTCTCGCTCGTCGTTTCCCGTTTTCCCGTTTTCTTTTCCAGCAGTTACAGCTCCTGCTGCATATTTCCCTTTATGCAAAATATATGCTATAAATGGCCCGCCCCTTCAGCCTTTATTTGAATATCGTGTCACATGTCGCACGCAGTTAGGTGCCTTCGTTGTTATTGTAATTGTTGTAAATGTCGCCCAGCGACAATATCGCATTTGCATATTTCTGTGCCAACACACCCACACTCACACCCACACCCATTCGCATATACTCGTATATTTGTGTATGTATATGTACTTATACATCCCCCCTCGTAACCCCTTTGGAACACGAGCTCTGTGCATTTTTACTTAATTTTATTTGTATTGGATTTGCGCCGCTGTCTCGGCGAGTCCTGTGTGTGCAGCGCAGCGCGATTTCGGAATTCTGCAATTTGCACAATAAATTTTAATTCAATTTACTGTTAAACTCACCCGGAGACACAACAACTAACTAAATGCGGACGCGGAAGTGCGCATTCTGGCATGACAATCGTCCTCCGGCGAGCGTCGCTGGATTCAAACAAGGGGCAGAGTGTGGCGATGCAGCCGGGATTACCATCAGCCAAGGGCTACAGTGAAGCCAGTCCTAAGGGGAATTTGCAAGGATATCTTCATTGTGAATACAGCAATCAAATGCCTTTGGAAAAGATTTAGCGTATTTCTAACTTTCATTAAAATTAAGAGGAACGTTAAAAAATAAGCTTGCTTAGTTTTAGACCGAAAACCCTTTTACAATTAAACCTAAAAAAAAACGAAAAGCCTAAGATGAAAAAATTCAGATGAAATATCTAAAGTTCAAGAAGAATGTATCATATATTCTAGATAATTATTTACTTTGGATATAAATCTTTTTTCATTAAAATTAGGGATACCGGTATTTTACTTTAGTAAATTGTCACCAGAACTCCAAGTCCTACGCCCTTCTTGCCTTGACCCCACTGCCGCGAAACCTTTATCCTGCGACCGCAGGACCAATCTGCCGTTAGTTAGGAAAGTTTATGCGCTGCAGGACCGCGGAACGGGCAGTAAGTTGCGCTTATTATGATAATGGACGCGCATGTGCAGCCATTTTGATTGGGCTGCAATAGTACATAGTTGCAGCGCCAGTTAACAAACGTAAGTGAATTGAATGAGCGCAGCTGCAGGATCGAAATGGATATGGTAACTGGGCTACGCATTCAACTAAACTAATTTGGAATTGTTGTCAAAAGTGCGAGACAATTTTCGTTGGCTCTGTTTGTAAACTTTTGTGCGGTTTATGCCGATGTTGCCGAAGAAATGGAGCCAAAGCAGAAGGATCAGGCCCAAAAGCGGGACGAACCCGGCTCCCAGAATGAGTCCCTGACCATAGTGTGAGTTTCCTGAAGGTATTTCGAGTATCCTTGGGATTAATCCTTGGGTGTTTTGCAGGCAGTCCATGACCTCATTCTACATTTACAATCCCTACGAGAAGCGAAGCGTGGAGGTGCCATTGACGTAAGTTTAAAAGAAGTTATCTTACATTAAAATTAACTTGATTTGGATAAATACTTAAAAATAGAATATATTTCTTCCATATTTGATACCCAGTAATTTCGATGCGTTTATTTCCCTGCTAAAATGTGTGATTGGAACGGGAATCCTGGCGATGCCCCTGGCCTTTCGCTGCTCGGGTTTTGTGGTAGGCGCCGTGATGTCCGTCCTCCTGATGATCCTGCTGACTTCCTCCATCCACTTGCTGGTCTGTAAGTGGCTGCATTTGTTACCCCGATCCCTAGTTTACTTACCCCCAGTGTCAATAGATAGCTGGCATGACGGAGTGCTGTCGAAGGCGTCAGGTTCCCCAGGTTTCCATGCCGGAAGCAGTGAAAATTGCCTACGAAGAGGGTCCCAAATGCGTGAGATGCTTTGGTGGTGCAGCTGGTTTCATGACCACCTGTGTCCTGGTTTTCGGACAATTCCTGCTGTGCACCGTCTACCTGGTTTTCGTGGCCAAGAACTTCAAGGAGATCGGTGATCATTATTGGGAAAAGTACAATGAGAGGTATTATGTGTTGGTCGCTTGCCTGTTGCTTCTACCGCTTTTCATGATCCGCCGACTGAAGTATCTGGTTCCCTTGAATTTGGTTTCCAACTGCATGCTTTATTTGGGATTTGCCCTTATTATGTACTATCTGTTCAGCGGTCTTCCCGATATCACTGATCGAGAATTGGTCAAGCCTCCTGTGGAATGGATTGAGTTCTTTGCCATCGCCGCCTTTTCACTCACAGCAGTGGGTTCGGTAGGATATTGCATATCATTATAATTTTTCTATACTTTAAAATTGTTTTCATAGATGCTTGTCGTTGAGGCTCATATGGCCCATCCGCAGAGTTATCTCGGGATCTTCGGAGTCCTTAACCTGGCTGTTTTCTTTATCCTGCTATCCAATATGTTTTTCGGCATTATGGGGTATTGGCGATTTGGCGAAGATGTTGAAGCGAGCATCACCCTCAATATTCCCAAGAGTGAAATGTAGGTAAAACAAGAATAATTAACTAAGTAACTAACTTATTGAAATAATTTATGTTTCCTACTTTTAGACTTTCTCAGCTCATTAAAGTCTTTATAGCCTTGGGTATCTTTTTAAGCTATCCGCTGAATGGTTTTGTTGTGATCACTGTAATCTTCAGCGACTATGATAACTCCAGTGAGAAAGGCAAGCATCGTACGCTTATTGAATATATAGTGCGGCTAACCTTTCTGATACTCACAGGTGAGATATAATAACTATATTTTACTTAAGTAAAACTATAATTTACAGGTGCTGTGGCAGTGGGAGTGCCCAATTTGGCGGCCCTCACAGAATTGGAGGGTGCTTTCTCGTTGAGCAATCTGAACCTATTGTGTCCGGCCTTGATCGATTTATTTCTCAACTATAGCACAGGATATGGCCGGTTGAAGTGGAGGTTGATTCGGGATATATTGCTCATACTGATTGGTCTGATCTTTGGAATAGTGGGCTGCACAGTGGCCATGATCCAGCTGGTTCACGACTTCCGGGTGACGCTTAGCAACATGTAGGAGAAGCCCACTTATTTCGGGGTTTTCGCCGGCTTCTGGTGCTCATTGTTGGCAATAAAATCGGATTTTCCAAGTTGTTCGCCTTTGGTTCGTTGTTGTTGCGTTTGAGAACCAAATATTTGGCTGCTTGTTCGGTGGCTTTTAATTAATTGCCAGCCAAGTGTTTGCCGGCTGCTGGCTTATCCCCTATTAAGGCGGTTGTCTAAGCTCCGGCTTCTCGTCCGCTTCTTGTTTGCCCAACGTGGCGTATACTCGACTAGGCGCACATCAAGTATACGCCGCGTTTAATTAGCCAAGCCGGAGCACCGGTGCCTCGGATCCGATCATTTAAAATGAAGCACGGCGAACTGTAATCAAATGCAGCCAGGACCGCAGGTCCCAGCCTCGTTTGCCGGTTTTGGGGGGATTTTAAAATTGAATTCCCTGCCTCAATGGAGCGCAAATACAAAAGGCAAAGTTGCCTAGCTGCCGCACAATAAACTAAAAGACAAATACACAAATACAAATTCCGAGCCAAGAAGAAGTGCGCTCCCTCCTCTGCCTCTTGCAGCTCCTGCAAATATATATATATATATTATATATATATAAATAGGCACAGGAAAAGCAACTGCCGACGACGGCGACTGTTGACTGCGCCAGTGTAAATAGCACGGCCAGCGAAATACAATAAAAAAATAAATACGAAAAAATAGTCCTGCAGCTCCTCAAGGAACTGCACGAAGGACAAGGAAGACCACTACTGCAGCAAACACACACAAAACACAATTTCCATTCTTCAAATAGAAATACAAAAAAAAAAAAAAACAGAAAAAAAACAAACCGAGAGGAGGCGAAGAATAAAACGTTGCGACTGCCAGCGACAGCAGCCCAGGATGAAGGGAATTCGGGGATTCTGGGTTTCTGGGGAGGATGAGGAGGAAGATGGGATGGATGAGGAGGAGTACGAGTATCCTGGGGCATGATTTTTGCAGACATGTTGCTTAAAACTTAATTTAGAGCGCCGCTTGCACTGGCCCCCCAAAAAATAAGGCCCGAAACCGAAAAGCAAATCAACGGAAAAAAACCTACTGACAAAAAAAAAGAGAAAAGAAACACGAAATGAGATCAGAGCGAAAAGGAAAAGCTCACATAGAAAATTTGCCAGCGGCGGCAGCTTCAACTAATTTTCGTATATAATTCCGTGGGCCAGACAGGATGCGGAAGTGGGTGGCTGGGTGGTTGGATGGTTGGGTGGCTCAGCGACCAGCTCTTCTGCGGCTGCATCCAGTTTCTTGCCTAGTTGTCAGTGCAGCATCATGTCAGTGTCATTATCAAACAATTCCCAGCCAACTGGGAGGAGGAGCTGGGGGAAAAGGCAGAGAAAGGAGAATGGAGAGCCAGTCCCACATGGTTAGTGGCTAAAATGTCGCTGGCCCGCTCCTCGGAGTCTCAGACAATGCGTGCCACAACTTCATTCCCGACTGTCTCGCTCCGTGTCTCGGCTGTCACATGTCCGCCAGCCGGCAGTGGAGTCCTGTCAGGCCAAACTCTCAAATTGAAAAAATTCCCATTTTAATACAATTATTTGTAGGCTAAAAAGAAAGGAAAACGAACAGGCCAAGACGTCGACTCCAAGGAGGGAAAGGATATCTATTTCAAGGAGAGCTATGGTGCAAGATTCAGGAATCGCAGATAAAAATGTATACTTTATGGTTTGTTCAACATAAAATCTAGATTTAAGTTTAGGTAACTAAACTTCTGTTATCAGAAAAATATTTTAAAATTTCTAAGTAATATAAAAAATGTTTTTAAAACTATTGAAAATAACATTTACTTGAGCTCAGAAAGGATTCTTTAAAATCAATTGAAGTCAATGAATTCTTTAATCTCATAGTTTAAGCACAAAATACTCTGCAAATGTAAATGCAACAACGTTTTGTAGCTCACTTTAAATATAAAATCTCGAAAACTGGTCATTCCCGTTTAACCAGACACACGTAAGCATGAAAAATCCATCTTAGAGCTTCACATTTCTCGGGCTGCGAAATGACTCCTCACAGTTGTTTGCAAAGGATTGACAGAAGAAAAGGCGGGCATCAAAGGGGGATCCTTGGGGGGCAGGATGCGGAGTCCAGGTGAAGGTAACTTCAGTCCGGGGTCGAGTGTCTGAGGTCTCGTACTCTTCAAGCGGCTTTGGCACGTTCCATTTGTGCCGCCTAACATTTATTTACTTGGCTGACTGAAATGTCATATTTGCCTTTGGCCCACGTTTACTTCATTCTGATTGTATGTGATTTGCATGCCGACGGGATGGGAAAATTAAACCGCAAAGAGAGAATGAGAGCGAGGTTGGGAAAAAGAATGGAGGAAAGCCGAATTGTCACAGCGGCGAGAGCATCTCAACTATTTACTTATTTATTTCGCATTGAATGAGAGCTTGCCTGGGAATTTTAGCCAAGTTCCCAGTTCTCAGTTCCCAGTTACCAGTATTTGCAGCGTTCCTTTCCAATTCGAAATGTGCACTGGCCGGTGACGTGGAATAATGCTGGTATGCCAGCCATCTAACCATCTATCCCTCTAAGCGTTCAGCCGTCTATCCTTCCATCCATCCATCCATCCATCCATACATCCTTCGAGCTGCTTTCCACATCCTTCTGCTGGCATTTGCTTTTGTTTGCGGCATGCGATTTGTAGATTTTTCAACCCAAAACGCTTTGGCAGTGGACACGGCGGCAAGTAATGCAAGCCGAAGGGGCGAAGGATATTCCATATTCCGTGATATAGGATATATGCTGCGAAGGGAGAGCGGAGAGATTCCGGACAACTGGTCAACAATGTGCCAGTGCATAAGTTGGCATTATGCAACAAATATGCAACAGAGCTGGCTCAGAGCCTCGGGTCACATGACCGCTTGCATGCTAAATTCCTCAAAGAGGGGGCTTGGCAAATTTTACCCCAGAGGGCCAAAAGAGTTGGCCAAATCACTCAGCTCGAGTCTGCTGACCGATTTGCATACTCAAGCAGTCCGGGCATCTTCAAGATACAACGATACAAGCTTTCGCCTGCACTCGAAACCAAAATGGAACTGGAACTTAAAAAACTTTAATGAAATGATAATTAAAACTTCACTTTCTTTTTCATTTTAAAGATACTTCTAGAACTATTTAAAGAATAAAAAACAAATATAATAATGTACAAATATTTATTATTTTACCATCATTAATCTAGATAATTTGTTTACTTAGGAGAATTACTTTTTCAAGTGCACCCATCTGCAATCAGTGAGAGTTGAGGGCTGGGTCCTCCTCCCAGTCGAGGCTGCTAATTAAGTGTGTGAATTCCTATCGGACGGGGGAGTTGTTGTTTTTCTAATGAACCAACTAATTGCATCTAACGGCAACTGCAAAAGTAATCAAAGTGGCAGGCTCCGAGCTTCGAGAGCCCAAGAGTCGGCAAAATGGCAATAATAACGAAACTTTGTTCAAGAATTTTTGGAATGTTGCACAAATATGCGCAAGAATGCAGCAAAATATGCTTGGACCAATGCAAACGTTATTGGGTGTTGGAAAGAGATGGCTAGAAGGGGAGAAAGGGCTGCCAGAAAGGGACGGGTAGCCGGCGAGAGAAAGAGAGGGAAGGCGGTTGAAGTGGCAGACAGAAGCTCTCGTCCAAGTTGCTGTTGCTGGCTTATATCAATAATTGCCAAAAGCAAATTGGAAAAGTTATGCGCCTGCAGTTAATGCGACCGGCGGAAATAGTCGCAGTCAAAATGGCGCAACAGCCAAACGGAAGTGCCCAAAACACCCACACACACACACACATCCAACTGTGAGTATCCAAAGTTGTTGACTGTACTTTGGTTATTAGTATTTTAGTTCTGGAAAGTGTATGTCGCTTTGGAGATTAAATTCGAGGTGGAAGGAAAGTAACACTATTGCAAAAAATATTTAGCAGTTTAATAAATTATTTTATACCAAATACCAAATTCAAAAATTTAAATGCACTTTTTTTAAGAATCACATTACAAACGTTTAGAGGTATGCCACTTTTAAATCCGACGAAAATTGGAAGAGTTATGAGTTTTGAAAGTCCCGTTTTGGGTAACCATTGAAAACTTGAAAAAATCTGACATGAACAGGCGTCAAAATTTCGACCATTGGAGAATGAATAACTTGTAGATATATCAAGGATGCGATTAGAAGCCTTTAGAGATGTGTCACTTTGGAATCGGACTAAAATTGGAAAGGTTATGGGTTTTGGAATTCAGGTTTCCGGTTACATTTGCGCAAAGCATTGAAAACTCCTAAAAATCGTACTTGCAATTTCTTTTGTTTTGTTTTAAAAATTTTGTTTTGCAACTTGTGAATTTTCTTCCCTTCTGGGCGAGAGGAAAACTTGCTTGGCACTCGGGATTTGTTGAAGCAGTTCTCAAGATACTTTTGGTATGCCAATTTGCATCCGGCTTCGATTTGAGTTCAGGTTGGTTTTGCTTGTTACTTTTGCGTTATTCAAACTGCGCCTCAACTTTTACAGGCCGTTGGCCACCGAAACCGCAGAATCTGCTCGGCTCATTGAATTGATATTCGCAATTAAAATGTTTTGCTAATGATGGAGGGGCACTATAAAAGCGGTGGGTTTCGGGTTGAAGCAGCAACAAAATTAAAATGTATCGAAGTGTGGTGCTGGTATTACTCCCATTTTTGGCTTTAAGTGAAGTGAGTGCAAATGCTAATTTGGAAAAGAATTCCTGAAATTAATTTGGTTTGCTTCCTAGTCCCGTTTCGCTAAGGTTAATGTCAACCTGGGACTAACTGTGGCCGATGACTCACCCAAACCGATTACTGAGGACATGATCCGTCTATGTGGCGATCAAACGGATATATCTCTGCGGGACTTGCACAAACTTCAGCGAGAGGACTTTTCAGACCCCTCGGAATCCATTCAGTGTTTCACACATTGTCTCTACGAGCAAATGGGCCTCATGCACGATGGTGTCTTTGTGGAGCGAGATTTCTTTGGGCTGCTTTCGGATGCCACTAACCCGGATATTTGGCCAGAACGTCAGTGCCACATGATTCATGGGGATAACAAGTGCGAGACTGCCTTCAAAATCCACCTTTGTCGTCAGCAAATGAAGCAGCAGCAGACAAACTTGGCCAGCAAGGATGTTGAGGTCACCACACCCTCTGATTCCGATGAACCAATGCCCTAGGGTTTTGAAATATACAAGTATATAGCTTGGTGGTGGTATTGGGATTTTTGCAGTTATCTAACATATTAAAAATTTTTAAATACAAATTTTTGAACTTGTCCTGCTCCGTTGGACTCCACTTACCAAATTAAACACCTTGGACTTCTATTGATCTGATGTGACTTTTGAAATTTCTTTATGACCAGAGTCGCGGGCACTTGACTCGACTGTGACCATTAGCGTTCGGCTTTCGATTGGGAATTTTCACGTAGATCCCGCGGTTACTTCGCTTTTCCATGGAAATTTTGCCACTTAGTGCGACAGACGGCCGGAGGCAGGAGTATTGTTAACTAAGCGCCGTTCGCGGTGCACACAGATGTGTAAATGACGCTAATGCCAGATCGAAGTTGGGAGTTTGCCCTCCAAACACTTGGGAAACCCACCTCACCCATCCTCCTTTGGCCATTTTGCCCACTTGTCTGCGATTTCGAGTGCATTTTGTGCGGCAATTATTTTTTTGCTCAATACTCGGCGACGCGGCACTTGACTTTAAATTGTCGCCAGATGCTCTGTGGCCACCTGAACTCGACTCGACTCGCTTTTCCGCATTTATATTGCGGTGCCACTCCCACTTGGCTGCCTTTTAATTTGTTGCCTGCGCCAATTGTTGGGCAAAAGTGGCTAATTTGAAATTCTTTTGAGCGAAGTGCGCACATTTTTGAATGTCAACTTTCTGTCGACGTCTTCCCGAATGCAGCGCACTTTTCCCAGCAGCGGCAGCTTTTCACCCGCCCTCATTTTCACCCAGGGAAAAGCGTCTGCCTTTGGTGGCTTTGGCTTTGTCTTTGTGTCACGCGGCATGAAATTGAATTTTCGGTCTGCACCGCCAGCAGAAGCGACAAGTGACAAAAGCCCCGGCCAATTGTCGGGTGACCTCCAGTCCTCCTTCTCCTCCTCCTACACCTCCCACCCCCTCCCCCATCTTCGAAAAAAAATAAAAACCTCCCAAACCGACCCCCCTTCAGCCTTCAATTATGCCAGCGGAGAGCACACCACCACCAGCACCACCACCATCAGCACCACCATCACCACCGCCATTTTGACACTCATACAGCGTAATTCGAAATGAATGAAAATTTCTTTTTGTCTTTCGCGTCGGTTTTTCAGCTGTTGATGCTCTTGTTTTTCCCGCTTTTTCCGGCTGCTTGTTGTTGCTCTTGGGTTTTCTGCTCTTGAATTTCAATTTACATAAGTCTCTGCTCTTCCATCGCTTTGTTCGACTTTCATCTTAACTTTTGCCTACTTTTATTCCTTACTGACTTCTCCAGTTGGCGGAGTCGCTGTTTTTTGTGGTTAAATGTAAATTTTATTGAATTTAACTCTTTTTGTGTCTGTCTGGCTGAGCGTTAAAGAGGAAATTGCATAATTATGCCCAATCTTGAGGCCAATCCGCAAATGTGCAATCTAAGAACAGAGGGAGCAGCGCCACCTCGAGTGGCAAAAAGTGGGAAATGGATATGGCTTTCCTCTTTTTCCATTTCGTGTTTGTCCGCAGGCTTACATTTCTTATCCTTTGAGGGATTTTTAATTGAGAAAACGCTCTCCAGAAAGAACTTGTATGCAAACCTTACACAAAATGTTTTCGTTTTAGCCTATTTACCTTTTTGGTTAATTTATTCGCAAAAATAATTGAATGAACAAACACATGAGTTGTAATATTTTCCTTCTTTATTCTTGCTTTTATCTTTTTGGTCATTTGTAATTTGTGTTGTTTTATGTCTGAGCTCTCAGTTCATCTTGAAAATTGATTTCGCTCATCAGACACCGAAAAAGATAAAAAGTGCGGAGCTGGGGTTCCCGAAAATACATTTATATTGCTACATTTATTCAACATTTCAATCATTAATAAATCAATTAAAATAAATTGGAATTTTGTGCGCTGATGTTGAACATGGAGAGAATATTTATGCCCTAGGAAAGGGTAAAACAGCTTTCATGGAAGGGGAGAAAAAATGATTTTATATTTTTGCAGTGTTTTTATTCAATACAGCAAAGAAATCGTGTTACTTGTTTTTATTTCGGGAGTTCTTTAAAGTTTGTTTTTCAGTTAGGCCTCAAAGTTGAATCAAAACCTATGATGATGCAAGGGTATTGTGAAATTCTCTGTTTCAACCTCTTAATTTCCTTGTTTTTGTTCACCCATTCTTTTAAACTCCTCCTTTGCCCTCCATCAAGCCTTTTCTTGTTCTGTTCTGTTATGCGATGGATTCGGTTCCATGCCATTTAATGCAATTACGCAAAGCTTATATTGCCCATTTTTCCCGGTTACCCCGGAGCGACCGATATAAATCAGATATGGAAAAAATGAAGCGAACGACGGAAATTTTTGATGGCAGCCCTGACATTTTTAAGTGACAGACAGTGGCCATGCAGAGAGCTTAAATTATTCATTTGATTTACGGCAAAAACATAAATTTACCGCAGCACCAGCGAGAGGTCCAATGAGCAGCAGTTGCATATTAAAATGCATTTATATCAAATTATGTATCATCTGTCAGACAACTGCTAAAGTGCACAGAAGAAAATGAGAAAATGTTTGTGCAAATAAAAAAAGGTTTGTATTAAATGTTTGGACTCTGCAATAATTAACAGCTTTGGATTTTTTCACCACGAAAATTGTTATTTTGGGTACCAATTTAATTTGTTCTCTTTTTTTATCATATATTTTTATAACCCGAAACTAATTGACAGGCTATGAATGAGTTATACAAATGTAGTGCATATTTAATGATTTTTTTTCGGTGTAGGGAGAGAGGAGCGGGGTAACTAGGCACTCTCTCTGGACATGGAACTACTCTCAGCGCCTTACAACTCGGGAGACATGTCGAAAGTTGCGCGACGTCTGTCGTTAGTGGATGTGTTAAGTAGAGAACTGAGAACTCTGAGAAGATAGGCGACGGAGGGGGCGGGGCGGAGATCAGTGGGCGGGGCTGGGGGCTAAGACGAAGGCAAACAGACAGGCGACAAATCCACACCGCAGCTGCAAATAGAAATCCAGAGTGGGAAAGAGGTTAGACATGAGCGTTAAGAGCATTAGACTAAACTTTGCCTTTGCCTTGATGTATATGCAATGTCCTAATAGAAAATCCCCCAAAAAATATGGCAATGATGCTAGGTTAGCATCATGTGACAGGGCCAAAACGAAGGGGAAAGGGTCGCCTCTACTTACAGCCAACACGAAAAAGTCTGAGATGGCCAAAAAGAAACTTTACCTCAAAAACTCCTTACATTTATATAAATCCAGTGGAGAGACATTGAAAATGTAATTATAAATTTATTTTTCCCTAGCTTTAAATGTTTTCTATTTTCTGGAAAAGGAAAACAAAATTGATAATATAAACTTGGGGCAATAAACACATTATTAACACTCATAAAAGTTAGGCGGCCAAAAGGAAAACCCCTTTCCATCTGATATTGATAATAATCCTTAACTTTTGAGCTCACTCGTTTTTTTCCAATTGGTTTTCCGATACTTGTTTTACTTTTTTGCATTTTCCCAGCCGCCTGCTGTTTGTTGGCTAGCTGAGGGAAAAGTTTTCCGCCTTCCGCCGGCTGCTGGCAGCTGTTGCGTTCTGCGTTCTGCGGACCCATCCGCACCACCCCAAGAAAATAAAAGGAAAACAAGGACGAACCAACGGGGCAGCAAAAAATTACTCGAGCTTAGAGGCCGTTGCTGTTGTCTGCTTTCAGGCGTTGAAGGAAACCAACAAACCCGAGTTCCAGCCATAAAGGGAGTCAAAGATTTGGCCAAAGATCGATATGCCAACAAAAAAAAAAAAATGTAAATAGAGTTCTCCGCTTGGGCGAAAAGTTGCCTTGGACTGGGGTTTAGACCACAAAATCTCATCACGTTGTGCAAATACGGCCGCATGCCAGCCAGGCGTTCGAGTGTAGATTAAAAAATGGCCGCAAATAGCTTTGGGCCAGAAAAGTAGGTCTGCTTTTCACACTTGAAAATCGATTACGCAGCTGTGATCTGGCACGCCCCCTCTGTCGAGCGATAAAAAATCCAACGCCCACAACAACGGACATTGGGCGTGTGTGAAAGTTCCTGTTTTGGCAAATCACGTATTGGCAATTGCTTACACGCTGATTGAGTCCGAAGATTTAGGCCTAATTAGGTGGCCCCTAGAGAGCGCTTTCTGCCATTTCATGGCAGTCAAATCAAGTGAACTGCAGCTCAAGCTGCCCATCTTGAGGTTTCATTTGTCATAAGGCAGCTGCACGGAAAACAAAAATATTATTATTAATATATAATAACTTTAAGTGAAACATCCTTTAAATATCCGTCTAATAAAATATGTAGAGTTAAATGCAGAAATCCTAAAAAAATTGAATGTTAGCTTTGTCGTTAAAACAAAGCCATTCGATTATATTATGCCACCTTTTTGTTTGCACTTCATTGTTAGAAAAACATAAATATAAGCGATTATTCTCCTATTGTAATATTTTTAAAGGGAGATGAATATATTTATGATAATAAATGACCAATTAGTTATGTTTTCTTTGTTTCCTTTTTTTCTGAACTTGATGGTTCTTCCCTAATTTTTTCCCCCAGTGTATTAAGAAAAACCTCAATCAGCTTGAAGCTCCAGCTGAGGGTCTGAGTTTTAGTCTGAGTTTGAGACAGCTGAAGACAACAGGGCGACACGAGGAATTTCTTCATTTACAGGAGACGGTTTGTGGTGAAAGTTGCTGACATGGCAAAGACAACAGGACTTAGGGGGGTCTGGGAGAAGGAGAGGGGGGATGTTAAGAGAGAGAGAGAGGGATGGGGGAAGAGCCGCTTGACGGCTTGTTGCGGTTGCGGTCGCGATGTTGGGTTTTAGATTTTTGCCAGCTGCTGTTTTACTCTGCCCCCTTTTGCATGGCATGCAAAAATAATTGCAGACATTTGTGGCCCAGCAGCAGCCGAACATCGGAACAAACGAAAGGCAACCCGGCAACCGAGCATCCCGGCA